TGTCCCCTGAGGCATAGGACACAAAGACAGCTGTGTACCAGGCATCATCAAGCATGGTGAGTGAGAAAAAAAAAATAGAGAGGGAATGGAGCACACAGACGTGAGAAAGGGAGACATGTTATCTTACGTTTCCGTAGTTCGAGGGGGAGGGTCTTCTTCCAAAGGCTGAGATGCAGGAAACAGGTGGGAAGGCGGAGCTCAATGGATCCCCGGAGGAGGGAGCATTCAATTAATTATCTTGTTGATCAGGAGGAGGCTGAGACTCCCTGGAGGTGTGAGGAACAGTCTGTATCTTTATATTATTATGATTATGATTATTATTATTATTGTTATTATTTGGAGGCCAATTCTAATAAAGCTTCTTTTCCAAGCTGGCTTAAGTCCTAAAATCTCTTAATTTTGTTCTTCTCCAGAGATCACTATCTTTCCCACAAACCACCTAGAAGGGTTGAGCACTTGTTTAAAGACCAGGCACTAGGGATTTTTCAACTACATGTACCTGTACCATCAGAAGCGGTTACTTGGATACTTGCCAGATAATCTGAATAATTTTGCTCTGGGGATGGTCGTGATCCCTTAATTAACAGAGAAAAAAAACAAACAGCTGGCTCACTTGGAATTGTGTGTCTTTCCTGGTAATGGTTTAAAGCATGGGCCTGAATCCTGAAGTGTCGTCTCTGGGACTCCTGAGTCTGCTGAGTTGTCGTTTTCCCTGTGCGAAGCAGACAGCGCACACCTCAGCAGCTTTGAATGCCTCCCAGTAAGAGAGGCCAACCTACTATTAAATCAACTGCCTGACTATGCCTAGCTCAGGTGTGTTTTCGCTGGTGTAAAAGGACCGTGAGAGAGCGCTGCAGAGTCCTGAGGCAAGGCCTACCTGTGGCCCTGTCCTTCCCTTCTGCCCTGTCTCCTGTCATTCTGACTACCAAAAGTCATCAACTGGAAGTAAAACCTGACATTGCCCAGTCCTTTGGGCTGACACGATTTTTGAAAAGTGGAAAAATAATATAGAAAGTCTTAGTGTCCACTTGGGTAGTCTAGAACTCACTATTTATACTTGTGGCAATCCTCCTGCCTCTCCCAGTATTATCCATGCCATTACACCCAGGCTAGAGTCCTGGTTCTTTTTTTTTTTTTTTAAGATTTATTTTATGTAAATAAGTACTCTCTCCATATGTACACCTACATGCAAGAAGAGGGCATCGAATTCCATTACATATGGTTATGAGCCACCATGTGGGTGCTGGGAATTGAACTCGGGACCTCTGGAAGAGCAGACAGTGCTCTCAACCACTGAGCCATCTCTCCAGCCCCCAAGTCCTGCTTCTTAAACTTGACTGACATCAGGAATTCTAGAGAGGTTGAGAAAGAAAGCCAGACATTTCTGAACAGGGCAGAAATTCCAAATATTACTACAAATAAAGGAAAGTATGGATCCAAGTTTTTCCTCTTTCAAGAGCTAGGTCAAAATGAATGTGCAGGTAAGGTCAACCTGAAATTTCAAATGAGTGGTAATCATTAACTCAGTTTTATACAGCTCGTGATATTTAGTCCTGATGTTCCCTTTGTAGTAGATGTCGTCTCTGATTTCATTTTTGTTTGTTTGTTTGTTTGTTTGTTTGATTTGAGCCTGGGCCTCTCTACTGGGCCTCTCTATCTAGTCTAGATTGGTCTTGAACTCAGAATCTCCTGCCTCTGCCTCCCATGGGCATACTGAGATTATTATAGGTGCGAGCCAGCATGCCCTGTCCAAAGGGAAGCTAGCTTCTGAGGCTCTCTTTCTCTCTTCAATGCTGGGGGTGGAACCAGGGATCTTGTGCATGTTACGTCAGGCATCTACCACTGAGATGTAACCCAAACCCTATTGGACTATTTTCCATTGAGACATCTTAAGAGGTTCTTACATATACTCGGCTGAGCTTGAATTTGCTAAGTAGTCCATATGGCCAGCCTGACCTTGAACTTCTGATCTTTCTACCTCGTTTCTCCTCTTCCTGAGGGTTGAGTTACAGGCGTGTACCACCACTTCAAGTTTATATGATGCTGGGTGTCAAACTCAGGACTTTGTTTACGCTCGCTCAGCCCTTTACCAATTGAGCTAGACTTCAAGATTCTAGATAACTGAGGTAGGGCTAGGTGGTACACCCTTTCAGTCCCAACACTTGAGAGGCAGAGGTGGGGAGACCTCTATGAGCTCAAGAGCAGCCTGATCTACATAGTGAATTCTAAGCTATCCAGTGAGATCCTATCCCAGAAAACAAAAACAAAACAAGAAGAAACATGAAACCTGGCAAATCTCTATCGTGTAAGAAACTCTTAAGTGAGCCGGGCAGCGGTGGTGGTGCACACCTTTAATCCCAGCACTTGGGAGGCAGAGGCAGGCGGATTTCTGAGTTCGAGGCCAGCCTGGTCTTCAGAGTGAGTTCCAGGACACCCAGGGCTACACAGAGAAACCCTGTCTCAAAAAACCAACCAAACAAACAAAAAAATAATTTAGTTGCTTCCTTCAAAGACTCCTTCAGCATCATTGAGATGCATTCATGGAGTATGGGGGAAGAGAGACGGTGAGGACATCATTTCTATTCTGAGTTTCCTGATGAGTTAAACAAGGCACTCATAGAAACACCAAGCTAAACCATAAAGCAAAATGAAATAAGTACCCAAAGGCTAAGTAACTGGTAGAAGGGAAAGGTGGAAAACAGGGAGATCCAGCCGGATCCGGAAAGACAGGACCAAGTGTCCAGACAAAAAGTTGAAAAAATAAATCTAAGATTGTAGAGAACTGACTTTTTTTTTTTTTGACACAAGGTGTTAATGTATAGCTTTAACTGGCCTAGAGTTCAGTATGTAGACCAGGCTGCCCCCAAGTAATAGCGATCAGCTTGCCTCTGCCCTGTCCCGCACCAAGCTCTGGCACTAAAGGGATATACCACCATGCCTGGCTTTCCATATTTCCCATGTTAACCTTGAGTTTGCAATCCTTATTTAGCCTTCATAATGCTGGGGTTACATGTGAGCCCTCCTACTCACTACCAGACAACAGAGTCCTTCGGAGGTCTGAATTTCTTTTTGTTCTTTTTCTTTCTTTCTTTCTTTCTTTCTTTCTTTCTTTCTTTCTTCTTTTTTTTTCTTTTCTTTTGGTTTTTCGAGACAGGGTTTCTCTGTGTAGCCCTGGCTGTCCTGGAACTCTCTCTGTAGACCAGGCTGGTCTCGAACTCAGAAATCTGCCTGCCTCTGCCTCCCAAGTGCTGGGATTAAAGGCGTGCGCCACCACTGCCCAGCACTGAATTTCTTGAATATGGTTCTTCTTCTTTTTCTTCTTCTTCTTCTTCTTCTTCTTCTTCTTCTTCTTCTTCTTCTTCTTCTAGATTTACTTTTTTTTTTTTTAATGAAGGTGAGTACACTGTCATTGTCTTCAGACACACCAAAAGAAAGCATCGGATTCTATTATAGATGGTTGTGAGCCACCATGTGGTTGCTGGGAATTGAACTCAGATCCTCTGGAAGAGCAGTCAGTGCTCTTAATCGCTGAGCCATCTCTCCAGTCCCTGAACATGGTTCTTCTTCCTGAGACTCCTTTCTCCTAGGCTGTATCCCAGAGTTCTCTCCTTCCTTGGTTCCATGTTTTCTGCTCCTAGATTAAAGATGGAGACTCTAGGGAATCTCCATTAGTTTTGAAGCTCGCCTTGTACAGTCAGGCTCACAACAGTGTTGTCACCTCACCTCTCTGTATCACTGCTTGCAGTAAAATCAGGCTACCTCAAGCTACATAACCTTTCCTCTTCTAGGTCAGACAGCTCTGTTGCTGACAGCCATTATTATTATTATTATTATTTTACCAACCCCTACAACCCTAGACCTTGTATTGTTTATTCTCATAGGCTTGTTCCTTAGACAAATGGATTTGAAAGATATTTAACATCTTCTCATCCTATCTTGTGTGCAGAAGAAATTGTGTCAGAGAGTTGCTCTTAATCTTTTTTTTTATAGATACCTTCCCCTGTCTCCAAGAAGAAAAGATGAGCTCCACTCTTATAAGGATCGAAAGAAAAGGGTCCGTCCTGAGGTTGTAAGTTGTACGGTCTTCCTAGAACACCATTTCTTCGGAGCTGGCTGGGATATCACATATTTGGTCTGTGGAGTAGGATTTGCTTGTGATAAGGTCTCAGGTTGGTTTCAAACTCCTTGGCAAAGGTATCATCCTGTTTCAGCATCCTAAGTAGCTAGGAGTACAGTCAGGTGGCATGACACGGGATGCCACATATTTCGATGAGAGTCTTTTGACCAAATCTATTGATAGTGCTACAACGCCAGCTCTCTTTTCATCACCATCCCTTCTACACGTGCTCCACAGGCAGGAGCTGTTACTATGGAAATGTATTATTTTTAAAAACAGACTCAGCCTAGGGCTTGGGAAATATCTCGAGAACAAACCCACGCAAGCATGGAGGTTAATGGGGGGGGGGGGGGATGTTGCTCCTGAATCCTAGCTCCAAGGGGAAGGAGGACGATGGTGGTGTTCTGTTCTCAATCTTTTCCAGGTTTAGCTTCATTTTTTCTCGCCGTTGATATTAGCTGGATTTTGTCAGGCACCTCTATCTGGGAGAGAGACCTTACCCCCCTCCTTACCCAGCGCCTAGCTTCAGCCAAGGAGTAAGATCAAAAGCTGCTGAGCCAGGAGGTGTTGAAACTGAGTGGTGATTTCCACGGGGACTAACTCATTTTTAACCCGCAGGCGTCCAACCATAGAAATCTAAGAAATGTAGGGAAAAACAGAGAAGTGAAGTTCCCTTGCCTGGTACTGAAGGGGTGCACAGGGATTTCAGGACGGGGCGGGACAGTTGAAGACTCCGCCTATTCTCAGCCCGGAATCTTCTACGTGTACAGCTCAACCCTCCCCGTCCCCCTCCACCCTTCTCTAGCTCTGAGCGGCGGGTTGGCTCGGCCCCGCCCGGTGAGGGCGCGGCTCCTTTAAGGGCGGGTGGGGGCGGGGCGCCGGCGGTGTTGTCAGTGTCAGTTCTGCGCACGCAGCCTTCCCGGAGCCGGTGCCGGCCCGCGAGCCCCGGTGTCTTTGCAGACTGATCCCTGCCCGGGTCCGACGGGGGCCCACGCCGTGGGAGGAGTCGAGTGCTAGCTGGAGCCTTGCTGGGGTCACACCACCAGTGCTAGGGATCTGGATCCCCGGCCACGGAGACAGAGCCCGAGCGTCGCGACCCCGGAGGACCTCTTCTCTATCCGTGGCACCCACTGGTCCTGGGATCTCGGAGGCGCCGGAGAGCTCCCGGAGCCCGCGCTCTCAGCCCCGGGGGAGCTCGCCCACGCCCCACGGTCCATCCGGGCCATGCTCCCCCGGGGCAGCGGCTGAACTCAAGCCGGGACCCGAGCCCGCGGGAGCATGGATCCGGACTGGGGACAGCGGGATGTGGGCTGGGCGGCCCTGCTGGTCCTCTTCGCCGCCTCGCTGATCACGGTATTGGGCTGGATGCTGCAGTATGCCCGGGGTTTGTGGCTGTCGCGGGCCGGTAGGGGCCGAGACTCCCGACCCGCCTCAGCTGCTGAGCCCGGGGGTTCACTACGCGAGCTGGGTGTGTGGCGTTCGCTGCTGCGTCTGCGGGCGACCCGGACCAGCGCCCCCGAGGAAGCTGGCGTACGGGGCCTCCTGGCTTCGCTCTTTGCCTTCAAGTCTTTCCGGGAAAACTGGCAACGGGCTTGGGTGCGAGCCTTGAATGAGCAGGCCTGCAGGGACGGGGTGAGTTGCACTGAGCCCCTGTGTCGTCCCTTCAGCTTTGCCTTCTAGGGAAGAGCTTGCTCACGTTAGGAGGGCTGGATTAGGGCTGTGGATCAGCTGGAGAACCCTCCAGCTTTCTCTTTCAGATCAGAGAAGAGCGTGCAGGTTAGACTGGGCCTTGTAAAGAAGTCCAGTTATGTACCAAATTTTCTATTTTTATGGGCAAGGTACTCTGGTTCTAAACCCAGCACAAGTTACTGTTCTCATAGCAACGCTAATCCGTGTGCCTGAGGACACTTCCGCCTAGACTAGGCTAGTTGGGCCAAGGGAGACAGGTGCACCTGCAGAAGGAATTTGCCTGGTCCTCGTGCCACCACACCCAGTTAAGACTTCAAGCTCCCAAATCCTGGTGGTCAGGTAGAGCCCCCACGGTAAATGAATTATCCCTCCAAATACCAGTAATGTCAGTACTACAGTCCTCCAGGCTGGCCTGCAATGTGGTGTTGAAAGGAACGGAGTTCAATTAAAGGACGCATTGATAACCTGCGTCCTCTCTAATAAATGAACTTGGGCTGCCCCTTAAGGGTCGTTCACAAACCAGCTCAGCCTACCTCTACCCATTGCACCATGGCCATCTGGCCTCCCAGGAAGTGGGGCAGGAAACAGAGTCATGAGACCGAGGTTGGGTGGAAGGCAGAGGTCTCCCTTTTCTGGACCGTTTCCCTTCCTGAGCCTCAGTCTATCAGCTTTTCGTGCAGAGGTCCTTCTCTGTCTCCAGCCATCAGAGCTTGGAGGCTTTGCCCTATTATCCATCCAGATGCCTAGAAACTGAGGTGGCCCCGGAGAAGTTCTCCTGTTTCCTCTTCCCAGCTGGCCAGCCGAAAGCCAGATGACATCTGTCAGTTTATACATTGACCCTACTTCTCCAACCTGGCTCTTCCTGTACCTTGTCCCTGGGTCAGAGGCAGCTCCCTGGGACAGCTGACTCAGCTGGACATTGGCCTCTCACAAGGGGAGGAGAGAGAGAGAGTTCCCAACCACTCATCTCCCCAGTTGGCATGACTTTTGAAGAGAGCTACCACCACAGGGAGGTTTGCTAGGGAAAGTGAATGTGCTCTGTGCATTTTGTGTTCTCCATCTCAAGCCCGGGGGACATATTGCCAGCCCAGGCTGTGCCCCCTCCTCAGTTCTTCTATTCCACTTAACACTGCTGCAGAAGAATTAGGGAGTGGCTCTTTGGAGAGCTAAGCTAATCGGCTTTCCGCTTCCTAATACTCCTGCTGTCCACCCTAAGGAATTATCTAGGCCTGGGACCTCTGAGGCCTCCCTCTGAGCTTGCTTCTCTTCCTAGCACTTCTGACAGAGTTTCCTGGAGGCGTGATAAGTTAGTCTTTCTTTCTAAGAACTTAGGCAGAGTGATAGGATACCTTTGGCCATTCACATCTGTTTATTTGGGAAAAGGCTTAGCCTTATTTCTCCCTCTTACTTTATAGCAAATGACACAACCATTTCACCCTCAGCCTTGTCCAGCTGCAGATAGCAAGGAACATGTCAATTTTTGTTGTCTTTTACCTGTATTTGTGATTAGAACGAGCGGTTAGGTAGAGGGGTGAAGGGGGAAGCAGGGAGAAGAGAGGTTCCTGGGATTTGCAGAGTTATCCAAGGTTCAAGGCAAGCTCTCAGATCACTGGGGATAGTGGGGCTGGAGGGAAAACCTCCTGTCCTAAAGTGTTGAGCCAAGGAGGGGCCAGAGGCCAGCCTGTAGCAGCCTCTGCAGTGCTAGAATCCAGCCAGCAGTTGGGTAGACCAGCCCTGCAAGGGACAGACACCTCCAGAGACTTGATCTTGTGCCCACATTACTTCCTCAGAGCTCCATTCAAATCGCCTTTGAGGAGATACCCCAACTCCCACCAAGAGCCAGCATCAGTCATGTGACCTGCGTAGACCAATCAGAGCGTACCATGGTAAGGATCTGGTGGGCATTACAAGATGGGGCGGACCCCAAAGGTTTCCTTTAGTCTGAGGGTTCTTCCTTTTTGATTTTTCGAGAAAAGGTTTCTCTGTGTAGCCCTGGCTGTCCTGGAACTCACTCTGTAGACCAGGCTGGCCTCAAACTCAGAAATCTGCCTGTCTCTGCCTCCCAAGTGCTGGGATTAAGGCGTGTGCCACTACTGCCCTGCTAGTCTGAGCGTTCTTAATTTGAAATTTCTATGTGTCTTAAGGACCTAAGGATTTGTTTCAGGAGGTCTGAGAATCTCACTGAGGTGATAGGCAAAGTGTGTGTGTGTGTGTGTGTGTGTGTGTGTGTGTGTGTGTGTTTCTAAGGAGAGAAGAGTTTTTGGCTTTGTTTTGCTTTGTTTATTTTGTTTTGAGACAGGGTTTCTCTGTGTAGTCCTGCCTGTCTTGGAACTCTGTAGAGCAGGCTAGCCTCAAACTCTGCCTGCTTTTGCCTCCAGATTTCTGGGATTAAAGGCACGAGCCACTACCACCCAGCTGAGTTTTTGCTTTTGTCTAATTTATTGAGAAACTTAGGGCTCCAAAAGGACACCCCAAGGATGATGGAAGTGGGGAAGGGTCCACTGAACCATTGTAAGGCAGGGCAGAGCCAGGTGGTGTCCTCCTTAATGCCTGACACTGTTCCCTGTTTCAGGTGCTGCACTGCCAGCTCTCTGCTGAGGAGGTGCGCTTCCCCATCTCTGTGACCCAGCAGTCCCCCGCTGCCGTCTCCATGGAGACCTACCACGTCACTCTGACACTGCCACCAACACAGGTGGAGGGAAATGTGGGGAACTGAGTCGGGCAGAGGGCAGTTGAATTGGCCTAGCATTTTCTCTCGGCTCCTCTCTGGAATTCAGGAAGGAAGAGTCCTGAGGAGTTTAGCAGGGGGTCCTGGGAAGAATGGGGTAGGTCCCACTAATCCTTCTGTTCTTGTCACTAGCTGGAAGTCAGCCTGGAGGAAATCCCTGATGAGGGGCTACTGGTGTCCTGGGCCTTCACTGACCGCCCAGATCTCAGCCTAAAGGTGCTTCCCAAGTTGCAGACTAGGGAGGTAAGAAGGGGACAGCAGAGGAGAGACTGAGTTAGCAGTGGGGCAGGGCAGAGACTCCACCTCTTCTCCTCTCTGCAGAGAGATGAGGAACAACCAGAGCTTTCAACAGTTGAGGAACTGATCAAGGATGCTATAGTCAGCACTCAGCCCGCCATGATGGTCAACCTCAGGGCCTGCTCTGCCCCAGGAGGCCTGGTGAGTGAACACCCAAAGGGAAAGGTGTGCATGTATTCCATCTCCAGGATTCTTTTTTTTGTTTTGTTTTTTTGAGACAGGGTTTCTCTGTGTAGCCCTGGCTGTCCTGGAACTCACTCTGTAGACCAGGTTGGGCTCGAACTCAGAAATCCACCTGCCTCTGCCTCCCAAGTGCTGGGATTAAAGGCGTGCGCCACTACCGCCCTGCCATCGCCAAGATTCTGTATCAGGATTATTTCTCTTTTTACCTCCTTCTCTTCTTAGGTACCCAGTGAGAAGCCACCCATGATGTCCCAGGCCCAGACATCCATCCCCAGACCTACCCGATTATTCTTACGGCAGCTTCGAGCATCTCACCTGGGAAGTGAGCTAGGAGGTGAGAATTCCATTGCCCTTGCCATAAGTATATAGGCAGCCCCTTCCCCTCTGCCCAGGAAATAGCTTCTCTGTGCTCCGGACTTTGTTTCTTCTGTCTGAGCATCCTCTAAGTTCTGTTTCCTTACAGGTACTGAGGAACTGTGCTGTGCCGCTGAACTTGACAACCCCATGCAACAGAAGTGGACCAAACCCATGAGGGCTGGCCCTGAGGTGGAGTGGACAGAGGATCTAGCTCTGTAAGTCACACTGTGACTGCTCCTAACCCCTGTGCCCATGGGCAGTCAGTCAGGATGCAGAAATCTTTCCAGGCTAGTCTTGGCATGAGCTAGCCAGGCCCTGAGAACACAGACAAGGAGTAAATACAGCCCCACCTCTGGGTGGATCACAGGCCTGGAGCAGAGACAGATGTACCTAGGGAAGATAGGACAAATTTACCAGTTGAGATTTCATACACAGCATGCCATGGGGGTGGATGAATTCTCATGATGGAATAAAGATCTGATGAATCTTCATGGAAGAAGTCTGTTTAAACCACACCTTCAGGCAAGAGTAGCATTGCAACAGAATGTGAGGCAGCTTTAGCTGGAGATAGACCTCAGGAGGAAGAGTGTTGGGGTGTGTGCTGTGCGTACCTGACTGAGGAAAGTGATTTCCACTCATGGCTTGGTCCATAGTCCTGGGAAGTTGGACAATTAACAGCCCTGGTGCTGTCTTATTAGCATACATCTCTGTCCCTTTGACTGACTCGGGCTCAGTTTGCTATGCTCCTTACCTGACCTATCTCATCCTTTTTTGGCCTTCAGGGATCTGGGTCCCCAGAGCCGGGAGCTGACCCTCAAAGTGCTCAGAAGCAGCAGTTGTGGAGACGGTGAGTGTGGGACAGAAGGGACACTCTGGAATGGCTGCTGAGCAGGTCTGGCTCCTGGGCCCGGCTCACAGCTTCATTCTTGTCTCTAGCTGAACTCCTCGGCCAAGCCACACTGCCTGTGGGTTCACCTTCTAGACCACTGTCACGAAGACAAGTGTGCCCACTGACCCCAGGACCCGGGAAATCCCTGAGCCCAGCAGCCACGGTGACAGCAGAGGTGAGAAGGTGACCACCGTAGGGAGGCAGATAGACCTAGATGGGTCAGTCTATGAGATCCTGATTCCTCCCTCTCTCCCCACCCTCTGGCAGCTACACTATGAGCAGGGCTCCCCAAGGAATCTGGGCACGCCCACCTCTTCCACCCCTCGCCCCAGCATCACACCCACCAAGAAGATTGAGTTGGACCGGACCATCATGCCTGATGGCACAATCGTCACCACTGTCACTACTGTCCAGTCCCGCCCCCGGGTAGATGGGAAACTAGGTAAAAAGTAGTAGGGCCTCAGATTAGCCCCCATTGGCTGACAGGGGGCGGGTAGGGGGAGCCTTAATGTCTGCCACATGCACATTCTGGTCCGTCTGCGTCTTCCTCCTCCTGTCTCCACACTTGTTTTTGCACCTCTCCATTCCCCCAGCCATCCTCTCACCATTGAGCCCTTTGGAATCTTCTGTCCTCTCCTCTTGCTCTAAATTGTTTTCTCTCTTTCCATGGGTCTCTTTCCTTCTTTGACTCTAGTCCCAACTGGCTAATTGTCCCACCCTGCAGTGGTCCCTGGCCTCTTCGTGCAAACCCAGTGTCTTTTGTGACATTTTTCTATTCTCAGTGGCCTTATGCCACTTGTTCCATTTCTAGGGATCCCATGGCAATTTGCGTATCTCCAGGGTCCCCTAAACATTCTCCATCCATGTTTGGTATCTCTCTCAAGTTTGGTATCTCTCTACGGCACTTTCCCGTACTGTCATCGGTTCCTGTAGCATCTTTTCATTCAGCATCTTCTTAATCACCCTTGTGATTAATCCCCCTTAATCATCTTTGCCCTCTGAGTCAACCAAAGTCTGCATCTTGGTAAAGATAGTAGGGGTGGGGCCATTCTAAAGCACCTCCCAGCTCACTGACCCTCCCCCACCCAGCAGACTCCCCCTCCCGCTCCCCGTCCAAGGTGGAGGTGACAGAGAAGATGACAACTGTGCTGAGTGAGAGCAGCGGCCCCAGCAATGCCTCCCACAGTAGCAGCCGTGAGTAGGGAAGGGGAGTGAGCGAGCATTGGTGGTTCTAAGGTCCCCGTAGTCAAGAACTACTTTGGGTGGTGCAAGAGGGGTTCGAACCCAAGAAAGAGCCAGGTAGAAGTGAAGCCATGAATCTTCTGTATCCCCCAGCAGGGGAAAGCCACCTTTCCAATGGCTTGGATCCAGTAGCAGAGACAGCAATTCGCCAGCTGACTGAGCCCAGTGGGCGGGCAGCCAAGAAGACACCCACCAAGCGCAGCACGCTCATCATCTCTGGTGTTTCCAAGGTAACAGAGCTCTGGAGAGAGAGCTAAAATGGGGAGAAAGCCCTCATGGGTCACTCTTGCCCATTCAAACTTGTCCCTCCCGGCAGGTGCCCATCGCTCAGGACGAGTTGGCACTCTCCTTGGGTTATGCGGCATCTCTGGAAGCCTCAATGCAAGAGGATGCAGGAACCAGGGGTGGTCCTTCATCACCTCCCTCAGACCCATCAGCTACAACCCCAGGACCGGTGGATGCCCTCTCTAGTCCCACAAGTGTCCAGGAAGCAGATGAGACGACACGTTCAGACATTTCCGAGAGGCCATCTGTGGATGATGTTGAGTCAGAAACAGGGTCTACTGGTGCCCTGGAGACCAGAAGCCTCAAGGATCACAAAGGTGGGGATCCATGGATAAGTCATCCCTGTTACTGCTTTTCGAGGGGGCGGGGCTGAGACAGAGTCTGGCCTGGAAGGCACTGTATAGCCCAGGCTAGTTTCAACTTTACAATAATTCTTCTGCCTCAGTTTCCCAAGCGCTAAATTCTAGTCATGGGCCTTCACACTCAGCCGTTTGCTGCTTTTTTTTTTTGGACTGTGTTGTAACCTCAGCCCTACTAGACAACTAGAGACATGGTAGGCTTAGCTAACTTGCTTTCAAGAATCAAGCAATCACCAGTAAGTAGATTGGGAAGTCTGGTGCCTCAGTTCCGAGCTTGGCTATGACGAGTGACAGCAAGGGGAGTCACCGTATTTCCCTTTCTTCCTGAGCTAAAGGGCTTGTTTTCTTTCACTCTCTTTCTTTCTGGCAACATCTCATGTAGTCCAGGCTGGCTCAAACTTGCTATACATCCAGAGTTGACTGTAAATATCTGATCTTCACGCTCAGCCATTTTTAAAAATTTAAATTTACATATTTATTTATTTATATGTGTGTGTGTGTGTGTGTGTGTGTGTGTACACGTATGTGTACCAGAAGACAATCTGTAGGAGTTGGTTTTTCCTTCCACCCAGGGACTGAACTGAAGTTGTCATGTTTGGCAGCAAACACTTTTCCCTGTTGAGACATCTTTAACAATCTTTCTAAATCATGCATGAGTGTTTTGCCTACATGTACATCACATGAGTGTTTTGCCCAAGGTAGTGGGAAGAGATTGTCGGAGTCCTTTGAACTGGAGTTAGAGACATTTATGAGCCACTATGTGGATGCTGGAAGTCAAAACCTTGGTCCTCTGCATGAGCAGCCAGTGTTCTTAGCCACTGGAGCCATCTGTCCAGCCTCCTGATGAGATATATGCTAACTCTTGCTTAGGTTTTGGGACAGAGTTTCACACTATACCCAAAGTTGGCTTAGAACTCACTGGATTTTTTTTCCCTCCTCTTCTCTGTACCCCCAGTTGCATGGATAGGAGAAATTCTACTCCATGCCAATCTTAACCTTGTTCCCCTGAACTGGGCATGGTCGTACACATCTTTCATCCCAGCACTCAAGAGGCAGAGACAGGTAGATCTGTGAGTTCAAAGCCAACCTGGTGAAAGCCAGTTTCAAAAAAGAAAAGAAAGAAGGAAAGAAAGAAAGAAGGAAGGAAAGAAAGAAAGGAAGGAAGGAAGGAAGGAAGAAAGAAAGAAAGAAAGAAAGAAAGAAAGAAAGAAAGAAAGAAAGATTGATTGATTGTTCCTTTGAGCTGGGTGGCAGTACCTGAATTCCCAGCACTTGGGAGGCTGAGGCAGGATTTTGAGTTGAAGACCAGTTTACAGGTCTCATTGAGACTGTCATGGAAGGAGGGAAGAGAGGAAGCATTGTCATTCCCCCTCTGGCTGTGACTCAGGTTGCAAACAGCTTTTCTAATTTCAAGGGACAAAGAGTTTGCTGTCTTACATCTTAACCGTTGACTAGTGACCGTGTCAGCTGTGATCTATTTATGATTTAAAAGCTGGCACTCTAGGGCATGGTGTAATCTCAGTACTCGAGAGTCTGTGGCAAGAAGATGGCTGTGAGTTTAAGATCAGCTTGGCTTATGTAATGAGTTCAAGGGCAGCCCTGGCTACTAAGCCAGATTCTTGCTCAAACAAAACTAACAGAAAAGAATCTAGATCTGTGGCTTGCATCACTTGAGATAATGGAGTCTGTGAATCCAAAGGCTGCTGTGTGAGCACGGTCCTCTCTCTGTTCCCCAGATTCACGTCTTTGAGGTTTCTAGGCTCCCCACTGCTCACACCCTGGAATGTAGTATGTTAATCCATCTTTCCTTTTATGATTTATAGGCTTTAAGGAACACCCTCTGTGCAGCCTTTGTCTTTCCACTGAAAGGAGGCTCAGTCAGCTGCGAGAATCCTCCCAGAGCAGCAGTCCCTACTCCAGGGGATGTGGTCAGAGGCGCACAGGTCCCTTCCCCTAGGACTGTGTTCCTTCCTCAGGATGGGTGAAGCTCCCGTGTGCTTCTACTGCCTTTCCTGAGAAACGCAGGCATTAGGCTAGAGACAGATTCCAGTCTTCGTCAACCTCCGAAGTCTTTTCTCCACCCGCATCCCGGTCCTGTGCCCCTCCGCTCACCTCAGTTTTCCTTCTTCCCTACAGTGAGTTTCCTGCGCAGTGGCACTAAACTCATCTTCCGCCGGAGGCCCCGACAGAAGGAAGCCGGTCTGAGCCAGTCACACGATGACCTGTCCAACACCACAGCCACACCTAGCGTCCGGAAGAAGGCTGGCAGCTTTTCCCGTCGCCTTATCAAGCGTTTTTCCTTTAAATCCAAACCCAAAGCCAATGGCAACCCTAGCCCCCAGCTCTGAGAGACCCCGAACTAGAGGAGAGCGAGAGTTCTCTTAGTCTGTTCCCCACATCCCCTTCTGTACCCCTTCCTGGATTCCCAGTGCTGGGGTCAGGAAAGCCCGTGGGTTATAGGAAGCCCCAGCACTCTGGGCTGTGGGGTAAGCAGGAAGGGTGTCTGACATAGGAAGCATTTGAGAGGCAGCAGTTGTTGCTGCGGACGTAGGAGACGTGGCAGCTGAGAGTAAGGGGCAGGCTCTGTCTGGCGTGTGTGGACATTCTTCAGAAGCCTCTGCTGGTACTGCCCCCAGAGGGAAGCCCAGAGCACTCTCTCCTCAGCAGTTCCTTCTCCCTTATTTATTCTCTTTTCTATTTATATGTGTGGTCTAGAACCCTTGGCAAACAGATGATAAGAGGGCATCTCTCCCAGGTGACCCTTTTCTGTCCCAGGAGGGTAAGGCAATTCCCAGGACAGGTTTCTGTGCCTCCTTTGGGAGTTCTCTCTTAGACCAGCACCAGTGTCTGCCTTCAGAAGACACTGGCAGATCATAGGAAGCCGGGCTCGTGCCCGGGATGGGGGGCAGGCACTCCCCACCTCCCTACCTCCCACATCTCTCCTTCCCCCTTTCCCTTTATTACAGTTTTGTACTTGATGCCTTCTCCATGAGCAGTGGCTCAGTTGGAAGGAGGGAGCCAGGAAGCTGGGAGGAAGCCTTCCCTAGAGAGCCGGCTTTAGAAGCTTTAAAGACCGTACGATCATAGAGCAAGGTTGCACCTCTGTATGTTGGGAGATGATGATGTCCATTGCTGTGTGATGGCTTGGAATTTAATTTATTTAATTAAAATCAAATTGGAGTTTATAAACAGGAATGGCTGGTTATCCATTGAAAAGCAAACAGGCCTAGAGGCTGTGGTGTTGGGAAGAGTGGGCAGCTCACTGACTGTGACCCAGGCAGTCACGTGGGACAGATGCCCCTGAACACAAGGACACATGTAGAGAGGTTTGTGTGATGACACTCTGAAAAGTCAAGTTGCTGCAAAAAGGCCAATCATCACTTGTCTTTGCCCTTCCCCCACAGGCTGTTCTTTCTAGGCCTTGACTCGATTCAGAGTGTGGACTCAGGCTGCACTGTGCTTATCTGAGACCCATCTCCATTGACCAGTTGGTTACCTCTGTGACCATGAACAAATATAGGAGCTCAGTTACTTTTGTTTGTTTTTGATCCAGAGTCTCACCTGTCTCATCCTAGCTGGCTTGGTAGACCAAGTAGACCGAGCTGGCCTTGAACTCAGAGATTCCCCTGCTTCTTCCTCCTGAGCGATAGAACAACACATCTGGCTGTGTACTCAGTTTTGTTTTATTTTGTTTTTTTTTTCCCCCCTCTAAAATGGGAACTGTGGGCTGGGTACATAGCTCAAAGGTAGAGCCCTGCCCTAGCATACCCAAGGTCCTGGATTTTGTCTCTAGCAATATTTAATAGAGAGAATAGAACCAGGTGTGGTGACTGGCACAAACCTCAGGGACTCAGAAGCGGGGGGGGGGGGGGATCTCTTGAGTTCCCCACTAGTCAGGACCATATAGTGAGACCCTGTCCAAGGCAAACAAAAGTGCTATTCCTAACATAGGTGAGTTTTAGGTACCTACAGGTATGTCTCTGGTTCCTGTCCTTTGGGATATCACACAGGATTGAACCTGCTTTAGGAGGTTAGGCAGAATGCGGGACCAATAGGCAGGAAACTAGGTCTGCCACAAATATCTCTGTCTGGCCCAAGCTGCTACTTCTTTCTGGACCTCAGTTTCTTCACTTCTAAAATGAAAGTGGCCCAGGAAAATCAGGCCACTTCTGAACTCTAGCCTTAATGTTTAACTTACTTGGGCTTGGCTTCTGAATAGACAGCATGGTTTGTTGTTGTTGTTTTTTCTGATACAAGGTCTTGCTATGTGGCCCAGGCTGGTCTTAAACTTTCCCAGTGCTGAAATTACAGGTGTGTGACATCACACTTGCTGTTACTTGTCTTAGGTTTTTTTTTTTAATGTGTGTGATGGTTGAGATAGAATTCAGGGCCTCATATCTCTAACCTCTTCCACTAAGAGGCATCCCAAATCTTCTTTTTTCCCTTTTATAGATAGGATCTCACTAAATTACCCAGATAGGCCTTGACATTCTTTTTTTGTTTTTTTTTCTTCAAGACAGTGGCAGAAGACCTGGGTTTATAGGCCCGTGAACACCTGTCTCACCTTGACCTATTTTTATGTTGTATTTAAACTTTTATTTACATGGGACACACACAAAATGATTTTTGAGAAAGTGTCTCATAGCCCGGGCTGTCCTGTAATTTATTATATAGTACTCCCTCCCAGAAATTGACCTCAGATTTATGATCTTCCTTCTTGCCTCCACTTCCCCAGCCCTGGGAGTATGAGTATCTATGTGTTACCACACCAAGCTTAATGTGGTGGTTGGCTTTATTTTGTTTTCTGAAGGGAGGTCTCTCTCACTGTGTAACCTTGGGTGGCCCAGGACTCACTATGTAAACCAGATTGCCCTTAAACTCAGAGATCTACCTGCGGCTTCCTCTCCAGTGCTAGGAGTAAAGTTAAGTGCCACCGTGCATGGCAATTTTAAATATTTACTGAGTTTTCCTCACTGGATTATGTGACCGTGACTGGTTTATAAAAACAAAGAAATAGACACATCTGTTCTTCCTCACTGGGTAGTGTAGAATGCAGAGTAGTAAGCACAAATACAATGTATCATAGTAAGAAGAGTCAATTCTCAGGGAAGGGACTGTCTCCATAGAAAACACAAGAATGGCTAGGAAGTCAGTCACATGATTGGAAGTGGGAAGGGGAGACTTTCATTCAGGGGAAAACAAGTGGAACCATAGGAAGTAAACGGAGGCACAGTGTGGTAGGGAAACTGAAATTTGTGTCTGAGGAAATGAGGTCCAAGACACAAGACAGGATTTGTGGTAGGCAGGGCAAAGTTGTTGGCGTTTGGAAATTCTCCATTTGGTTTGGGGCCATTGTACTGAAGGCAACAGAATGCCTTTGAATACACGAGGTGCTGACGTGATCAGGTCTGTTTTTATTAGCGATCATTTTGCTGAACTCTGTGAAAGATGTCTTGTAGAGAAACTGAACACTGGGACATGTTAAATGAGTGTGGAGTTCTGGGATGGGTGTCATTCGTCAAACAGAAGATAAATGAATACGGCTGATCACGTGTTTAAGAAAGAATCCTGGGCTGGGGGTGTGTGGCTATTGGTAGAGTGCTTGTCTAGCAAGCAGAAACCCTTGAATGAATTTTCTAGTGTCACTTAAACTTGGTGAGGTGCCATACTTGGGCAGCAAATACAGGTGAGTCACTGCGAGTTCAAGGTCACCCTGGGGTACGGTACATAAAACCGAGAAGACTAAGAAAAATCAAAGATGGAGGTGGGGCCCCAGTGTAGGCGAACCAGCCAGCCAACTACAGATACTGAGAGTCAGATAGACCGGACCAAACTAGGCGCATGCCCAGTGAGTGGTTGGCGCGAGTGTGCGCAGTAGTGGGAATTCAAGCCTCGAAGCTTCCCGCCTGCGCACAGTCGGGAGCAGGCCCAACCCACTTTTGAAGGAGACGCGAACTTTAGCCACTTCCGGTCGTTCCTCACTCTACCCCCCGGGATTCAGAGCTCTCTCCCGTACGGTTCCCGCCTCTTCCGTGTTTTGGTGCGCACGGGGTCTGACAGACGCAGCGGCCATTGGCTGGCGGTTGACTCGAGAGCAGCGATTGGCTGTCGCTGGTCGTCGCTCAAACGCCTCCGGGTATAAGGTGTGAGGTGGGTGGGACGCTGGGCGACCCAGCGGCGCTGGCAGGTGAGTGAGAGCTCGCTGTCCCGGTACCTTGGCTGCTACGGCGGCTCTCTGGAGCCTGCGGAAGGCCGGGCTTCCTGGATCCGCTCGGGGTGGCATCCGAGCCGGCCTTTCGCCTCCGCGCCATCGGTGTAGGGGTCGTTGCGGCTGGACTCGGTCGGCACCATGCTCTACGCCGCGGATTCCGGGAAGCCCTCCGGGCTGGGCATCTCCGGGCTGGTCTACTTCCTCCTCTGAGTTCTAGCTATACTCCGAAGCTTGGCCCCGGGCCTCAGCGCCCAGGCGAGCCTGCCCACGGGCCTTTCTGTGTCCCGATCGCCTTCGTCGTGCGCTTTGTTTTGGTTGGGGGTGTTCAGCCGTCAGATCCTGGTCTGTGAGTCCTTGTTTTAGGACCTGGGCCTTTCTTCTGGATTATGGCTCGGAGTTCATTGGTGCCTAGCGATACAGTATACTCTCTTACTATTTGTTGATGGGATGGTTTTGTACTTTGACTACTGATGAAATGTCAGGTAGGGATCCTGTGAGTTGTATGCTTCTCCACCCCTTAATTACCGCTCAGAAACAAGGATACTGTAGCTAACCCCTACTGAGCCTCAGTAGTGCGTTAGGTCCACATGGGTTAAGTAATTTAAGATCGCAATTATTTTTGTTTGTTTGTTTGTTTGTTTGTTTTTTTCGAGACAGGGTTTCTTTGTGTAGCCCTGGCTGTCCTGGAACTCACTCTGTAGACCAGGCTAGCCTCGAACTCTCGATCTCAGAAATCCACCTGCCTCTGCCTCCCAAGTGCTGGGATTAAAGGCGTGCCCCACCACCGCCCGGCTTAAGATCACAATTATTTTCCTTCTCCATCCATCCGATTTTCTCTTCAGACAGATACACCCTTACACATAATGTGATGTACGTGGTGCCTTTCTTTTTTTTGAGACCATCTTAACCTTGTGTAGGTTTGGCTGGCCTGAAAGTCTCAAGAGATCCTGTCTCAAAGGCTGGCACCGCCACCTTTATGCCACCACTCTATTTAAAAAAATTAGTGGTGTGAGCGTCTGTGAGTGAAGGGTGGGGATGGGGACACACGCAGGCCAAGGTGTGCAGGTGCAGGGGAGAGTACAGCTTTGTGGCGTGGATTCTTACCCCGTTTATGTGAGTTCCTGGGGTCATACTGGGATTGTCAGGCTAGTGTGACAAGAGCTTTTTTGCCCCCCTACTGAGCCATCTCACTTCTGCAGAATTGTCCCTTTTAGTATCCCTCCTAGAAATTTTACATGGACCTTTCACTTTGTTATCTTTCTTTTTAAATAAATACTTATTATATTAAGGGTATTTAGTAAAGTGTAGACATTGAAGATAGAGTGGAAACAGGTTTCCTTCCGTCAAATGGAGTGTACCTTTTAACATTAGAGGAGTAGTGGAACCAAGCATTCGGTGGGCAAAGCAAAGACAAATTATGACACTGGAAGCCTGACGAGAGGCTAAACGACATAATCCAGTAAGGGGTAGAATGGGCCTGAGTCTTATGTAGACTATATGGAATAAGAATATGGACTTTGGGCTCAGCTTCGGGTTATGTATAAATGACATTTAAATGATGCCTGCCTCATAGTGTTACCAATTACATGATGCAAATAAAACACTTAATATGGGACTAGAGGTGGCTCGGGCAGTAAAGTGCTTGCTTCATAAACATCAGGAGGCCCTCGGTTTGATCTCCAGAGCCCACATTAAAAAAACCAAAAAGTCCAATGGCTGGGAGGGAGTTGTGGCACAGGCATTTAATCCTAGCATTTGGGAAGCAGAGACAGGCGGGTCAAGGGCAGCTTGGTCTGCACAATTCAAGACAGCTGGAGACCTTGTCTCGTAAAAAGGCCAGTGAGTGCTTGTGATCCTAGTGTTGGGAAGTAGAGACTGGAGGCTCCTTGGAGCTCTCTGGTCAGCCAGTCTAGCCTACGGTGAGCTCCAGGGCAAGGAGAAACTCTATCAAAAGCAAGCAAACAAAGCCCTCAGGCAGTTGATTCTTGAGAAACCACAGAGCCCTCCCCACCGACTCCCAAACAGGCACACATAATAGATAACACACACATACACACAGTGCTTACCATGGCTAAGTGTGTGTGGTGGCACAAACTTGTAATTTCAGCAGTTACTTGGGAGTCTGAGGCAGGAGGATTGTAGCAAACTAGACTATAGAGTGAGTTTAAGGCCCACATGGGCCACTTAGGGAAACCCTGTCCCAAATACCATGTAGTATAAAGTCCTAGGTTCCAACCTCAATACCAAAAACAATCAAAACAAGAACAAAATAGTATTTTTGTGATGACTTTTAAAAAAGCTTGATCATTTTTTCTTTCCTATGCAATGGTGTTTTCATGAACATATGTCTGTGTGAGAGTATTAGATCTCTTGGAATTAGAATTACAGACATTTGTAAGTCATCATGTGGGAATTGAACCGAGATCTTCTGGAAGAACAGCCAGTGCTACTAATCACTGAGCCGTCTCTCCAGCCCCTTGAGATTTATTTTAACTTTAATGTGTATGGGTGTTTTATCTGTATGGATGTCTGCATCACATGCCTGCAGTGCCCTCAGGAAGAAGAGGGTGTTGTATCCCCTGGAACTGGAGTTATGGATGGTTGTGAGGAGCCATATAGTTGTTCCCTAGAAGAGTAGTCTGGTCTCTTAACCAGAGCCATTTCTCCAGCTCCGTTCAACAAGATAGTATTGTGTTCTGATACTCAGTGAGTGTGATACTCCAGACAGAAAGTTTGTTATCCCCATTTTGGCCCAGACCTCACATGTGGCAGGTGGTGGGCAGCAGAATCTGGGTTTCAGCTTTGGTGTCTTTCTTTGAAACTGAGCATTGTTCTGTCTCCCATGGGAATATGCTCTGAAGCTATATGAGAAAATGTCTGTTAAAGTCCTTAGCTTAGCACTTGGCCCATGTTCAGTATTATTCTCTCTTCCCAGGAAGCCAGGCAGCCTCTAGAGCTTGAGAAACTGCTGGTCCATCCCTACTGGAAAAAAAAAAAACAAAACAAAACCATGAGATCCTGAAAAATACCTGCTGGGCTCAGTGGGCTGCTCGCCTGCGTCTGCCTCCAGCAGCACTGGAATACAGTCTTAAGATCTGGATTTCTTCCTCTTCCTCTAAGGTAAAGGCCATGTCACCTCCTGGAAAAGTTCCCCGGAAGGAAAACCTGGGGCTCCAGTGTGAGTGGGGGTCCTGCTCCTTTGTGTGCTCGGCCATGGAGGAATTCTTCGACCATGTCACTCAGCACCTGCAGCAGCACATTCATGGCTCTAAGGAGGAAGAAGAGGAGGAGGACCCACTTGGTAAGGGGCAGGAAGGAGCTCGAGGGTGGTGTGAATCCGACTCCTAGAGAAAGGACAGTTGAGGAAACAGTAGTTTCTTATCCTCCCCCCGGCCCCCAGCCCCTGGTTTTCTTTTTCAAGACAGGGTTTCTCTGTGTAGCCCTGGTTGTCCTGGAGCTCATTTTGTAGACCAAGCTAGCCTCAAACTCTTGCCTCTGAGGTCCACTTGCCTCTGCCTCTTGAATACTGGGATTAAAGACACGTACACCACACCTAGCTTTTCTTTTTTTTTTTTTTTTTTTTTTTTAGTTACTTTATTTTTTATTTCATGTGCATTGGTATTTTGCCTGCGTTATGTCTGTATGAGGATGTTGGATCTCCAGGAGCTAGAGTTAGAGAAAGCAGTGAGTTGCTATGGGTGCTGGGAATGGATCCCAGGACCTCTGGAAGGGTAGCCGTCGTAACCACTGAGCTGTCTCTCCAGCCTTCTGAGGCATATTTTCTTAATTATACTTTCTTCATTCATAAAAGTATTATAAAGTCATCTCTAGAGAATTCAGTCAACAGGGGTGTAAAGGATGACTCCAGCAGCAGGCGTTTGTGATTTTGTGTGTCTATATGTGTCCGCGCATGCGTGCCATGGGTCAAGTGTGGAGATCACAGGTCACTTCTGGGAATAGGCTCCATTGGGCTTGATACAAGCTCCTTTACCTGCTAAACATCTTGCTGGACCTCTTCCCTTAAACATTCTTTCTGGGAGTGGGAACACACATTTATATATTTGTGTGTGTGGTGTGTGAGCTCACCGTGGTGTATGTTTGGGGTCAGACAACAACTGTGGGAGTCTATCCTTTCCTCCCACTGTGTGGGTTCTGGCGGTCAAAACTCAAGAGTATTAAGCTTGGGAATAAATAAGTACCATTCCCTGCTGAGTCTCCATCCTCCCTCCTTCCCTCCCGCCCACTCACTCACCCTTGTTTTTATTTTTTGAGACAGGACTCACTTTTGAATTCTTGGGTGGCCTAGAATTCACTTTGTAGAGCATGCTTGCCTTGAATTCATAGAAATCTGAGTGAATTAAAGGTGTACCTTGCCTGTGCGTCCCAAGTACTGGGACGAAAGGCTCCTGTCACTGTGCCCAGCCTCCCTTTTCCCTTTTTATTAACTTACTTATATTTTTTGTTTAGATTTATTTATTTTGTTTTATTTATCTTACCTTCATGTATATATGTGCACCATGAGTGCCTGGGGCCTGCAGAGGCCAGGGAAGGATACTGGATCCCCTTGAATTACGAATGGTTATGAGCCATCATGTGGAGGCCAAACTCAGGACCTCTGCAAGAGCAGCAAGTAGTCTTAACAGATGAGCCATCTCCTGTCCCTGTGTACTTCTGAGACAAATCTCATTAATTCAGGCTAGCCTCATCCCCCCTGAAGTCCTCCTGCTGTAGCCTCCAAATGCTGGAATCACTAGCACGAGCCACCACACAGTGTTTGGAGCACGTTTATATCATAACTACTCACCATAGCTAAGAAGATAGTTGAAGAGTTTTATTCAGGATACTCAGACATGCTCCTCTTCTGTTACTCTTCTTCTCTTTCTTTGAAAGAGTCTCCTGTAGCCCTGACTGACCTCAAAGTTACTATGTAGCTAAGGTTGATCTTCAAGTCCTGATCTGCTGAGGATGCTGGGATTATAGTTACATATGGCACCTGTTTACAAAGTCAAATAATACACAAAAATGAAATTAAAGAATGGTTTTATTTTCTAAAGATTCAGCTTTTTAAAATAAGCAGATTCCTGTGAAATGTTGACAGTGTGGTACTTAGAGGTGCAGAAGAGACAGGAAATAGGTTGGAATGGATAATGGGCCTGTCTTGACGTAAGCAGCTTAGAAGGAAAAGAGAACTGGAGAGTCCCTGTCTTCCTCATGGACCATGAGAAATGGAGGAGAGGTGTGTTTGCCAAGGATACCCTAACTCATTCTCCCTAGGTCCCTGGCTCAGGCCTCAGACATGCTGGTAAGCTCAGCTTACACTACTCCCTCTTTTACATTGACTCTTCTTTTTGTTTGTTTGTTTGGTTTTTTGAGACAGGGTTTCTCTGTGTAGTCCTGGCTGTCCTGGAACTCTCTCTGTAGACCAGGCTGGCCTCGAACTCAGAAATCTGCCTGTCTCTGCCTCCCAAGTGCTGGGATTAAAGGCGTGTGCCACCACCGCCCGGCTTACATTGACTCTTAAAAGAGGAACTCTTCAACTTCAGTCAGCATCAAGTTACTTCTGTTGTTTGTAGCAGGGTCTTCCTCTGTAGTCCAGGTTGGCCTGGGAATCATGGCGCTTTGCCAGCCTGCCTCTATCCTGGTCTTTTAGATAAGAGCCAGCACCTCCAGCTCTGGGTGATGTTTGTCTGGTACCACATACCTTACACATTCTAGTACCACATACCTTACCACATACCTTACACATACATACCTTACCCCATTCCCCTTGCCACCAGCTGCAGTTGTGTATGTGTGGTGAGTTAGCCCTTTCTGACTGAAGGCCCTGTGAAGACAAGGACTGGGACTCCTGCCTCCTCAGGATGGCCACAATCCCCGACTCAGCTGACAGTCATTAAGTACCGTGTCATGGTGGATGAACACCTGGTTCATCCCTGGTCAGAGTCCTCCTTAATGTCTGAAATGGAAAGTTAACTGAGCTGGGAAAGTGTCAGACTATTCCTTGTATTCCTTTCTGCAGAGGAAGAGTTCTCCTGCTTGTGGCAGGAGTGTGGCTTTTGCTCTCTGGACAGTTCTGCCGACCTCATCCGCCATGTCTACTTCCACTGCTACCACACCAAGCTGAAACAGTGGGGACTGCAAGCTTTACAGAGCCAGGCTGACCTCAGCCCCTGCATCCTGGACTTCCAGAGCCGGAACGTCATCCCCGACATCCCTGACCATTTCCTGTGCCTATGGGAGCATTGCGAGGTCAGCAGACAGTGCAGACATAGCCAGACTGGGGTGGAAGGAAGCTGGGGACCTTGACTCAAGATACTTAACTCTTTCTGGGGTGCCTTAGATTTCTGAGACTCCTGCTATAGCATATCCCATCTATTCTTGTGTAACTCCTTTGTTTGAAAACTTTGCTGTTCCCACAAGTTAATTTGGGGGAGAGCAAGAAGCTCCCCTTTGGACATGGGTGAGAGTCCCTGTAACCACTCTCAGTCCTCACCCCAAGTTGCCCTGGCACAGAGTGTCTTCGACAATCCTGAGTGGTTCTATCGGCACGTGGATGCGCACAGCCTGTGCTGTGAATACCAAGCTGTCAGCAAGGACAACCATGTGGTGCTGTGTGGCTGGAAAGGTAGGGCCACCCCTCTGCTCTGGTCTCTGCTTGAACCTCTGGAGGTGTAACAGTCTAGAGGATCCAGGGATGGGACCAATTCCTGCAAGACTAAGCAGGCTACTGGCTGGAGAAACTTGGGGGTTCCAGAGCCAAGCTGGGGAAGGGTATTTAAGGATGGAACATGATCAGATCTTCCTTCCCAGGCTGTACCTGTACATTCAAGGACCGCTGTAAGCTCCGAGAACACCTCCGCAGCCACACCCAGGAGAAGGTGGTCGCCTGTCCCACCTGTGGGGGCATGTTTGCCAACAATACCAAGTTCTTAGATCACATCCGTCGCCAGACCTCATTGGATCGTAAGAAGTTGGAGAGGAGAGGGAGGGTGTGGGCTGTCCTACTTGAAGTGAGGGCGAGGGCATTTTCCCAGGGGAGGTGGCTCTGCTGAAATCTGTACCCTGGCTCTCTTCCCCTTTGGGGATCAGGCACCTCCTAGCGTTCACTGTTTTCAGCATCAGTTACCTCAGGAATCCTCACAACAGCCCCATGAGGTAGGCTTCTTATTCCCCTTTTTACAGATGAGGAAACTGAGGCTCAGAGAGCTTAAATCACTTACCTGAGATCATACAGCTAGTAAGTGGTAAAGCTGGGGTTGTAACTCAGGTCTGGACTCCAGATCCCATCGGTAGCTTCCCTTTGCTCCTTGGGTGGCTCCCTTGTGTTTGGGACGGCTCCCCTCTCCTCTGCCCTTCACTGTTCTCTTCAGTCCCTTTGTTCTGCCCACTCCACCCCAGAGCAGCGTTTCCAGTGCTCCCACTGTTCCAAGAGATTTGCCACAGAGAGGCTCTTGCGTGACCACATGCGGAACCATGGTGAGTGGCCTGCACCCAAGCCTTCCTGCTTTCCTCTCAAGGTCCCTTTGAGTCCGTAGCTCATGGCCTCTTCTCTGCTCCTCAGTGAATCACTATAAATGCCCTTTGTGCGACATGACCTGCCCACTGCCTTCTTCCCTCCGGAATCACATGCGCTTCCGACACAGTGAAGACCGGCCCTTTAAATGTGACTGCTGTGACTACAGGTAAGGGGACCCTGGGTACAGATACAAGGCCCGAGTTTCAGGGTTCCCTATGCCCCCCACCCCTCCTGATTTCTCTTTGCAGCTGTAAGAATCTGATTGATCTCCGGAAGCACCTGGACACCCACAGCAAGGAGTCCGCCTACAGGTGTGAGTTTGAGAACTGCACTTTCAGTGCGCGCTCGCTCAGCTCTGTCAAGTCCCATCACCGCAGAGTACATGAAGTGAGTGGCTGCTGGGGGAGGGCTGGCCGGAGTGGGAGTGACGAGCTGACCTCATTTCCTCCTCCCTTCTTGTCAGGGAGACTCGGAGCCAAGGTACAAGTGTCACGTCTGTGACAAGTGCTTCACACGTGGCAACAACCTCACCGTGCACCTTCGCAAGAAGCACCAGTTCAAGTGGCCCTCGGGACACCCTCGTTTTCGGTAAGTCAGTCTTTCCCCACAGATGTCTACACTCCCCCTGGTTTGTTCCTGTTTGTGTTCCTCCAGAGGTCAGGGCGTGACTTGATTACCTTTATGTGGTTCAGATAGTGACCTCAGATCATCAGGCATACGTGGCAAGCATTTTAGACGTCTGGCCTTGACTTTATAGAGATCCCTCAGTCTCTCTGCCTCTGAGATGAAAGGCGTGCACCACAATGCGGGGCTGAGCGTCCAATGCGAAGCTGAGCTTCAGACTCAGCAGGTAGTGCTATAGTTCCTGAGCTGGAGGCAGAGTTACAGGCCCAGTGAGGCTCCTGCCCTCAGCTCCACCACGGCCTTCTCATACACGGCTGACACTGGCTTGTTACAGAGCTCATCGGACTCGGGACTGGGTGGGCCTTCAGCATTAGTTTTTCCATTTTCAGCCCTCTCCTCTGAACTTTATTCTACAGAGTCCATTAAAACCCTTTTCTTACTCTTCAGTTCTATCACATAGACTCCTAAGACTTCTTCCAGGTAGCGTATTTATATGTTTGCCCTCTGTCTGCAGGCAGTTTGTCCATCCTCTGCTGTCTGCTACCTTCTCCTCCAGGTACAAGGAGCACGAGGACGGCTACATGCGACTCCAGCTAGTTCGCTACGAAAGTGTGGAGCTGACCCAGCAGTTGCTGCAGCAGCTACAAGAAGGGTCAGACCCAGGCCTGGCTCTGAGTGACAGCAGCCTACAGGGCATTGTTCTAGAAACGGTGCTAGGGGAGCAAGGACCCGAGGAAGAGACCGAAGAGGAAGGTAGGGTTGTTGAGGGAGCAGCCCTCTCAGCTTCTCAGGACAACCCCAGTTCTGCCATTCATATGGTCAGTCAGACAGACACCCAAGGCCAGCAAGACATTGTCTACTATGTACTGTCTGAAGCCCCAGGAAAGCCCCCACCAGTCTCCGAAACTCCCTCAAGAGAGATGGAAAAGCTTCAAGGAGTACCTGAGGAGCCAGAGGTCCAGATGGGCTGAGGCTGCAGAGCCTGGCCGGTCCTACTCCAGGTCTTGGAGTTTGCGCCAGGCAGGAAGCAGTGTCCCGTATGCAGTCTTTGTTCCTGGATGGCTTTAGAAGTGGTGCCGAGAACAGTGTGCTTCCTCTGACTCAGGAGGCATCATGGGATGGCTTTAGAAGTGGTGCTGAGGACAGTGTGCTTCCTCTGACTCAGGAGGCATCATGCCATAGACTCTGGGGACTTGGATTCATTGAGGAAACCCTACATTTATGTTCTCGTTGGAGAAGCTGTTAACAGGTTTCAGCGTACTCCCTTGGCATGCTAGACAGTAAATACTTAGTCTGCGTCCATTCCAGTCTCCAGGGGTCCATCAATCCCATCCATCCAGGGACGACTGTTCCTTACGAGGGCTGTTTCCTCACTGTAAGTTAAGCATTGAGAACCAGGTGCCATTTATCTCAAGGTTTCCTTTTACATTCCAGAGACACTTGTTATCTTCAGGGACAGGATTAAAGATATTGTGTACGTGTGACAGTTGTCTTATTGGGAATAAAAGAAACACTTGGACTGTTACTTATTCCCCATGTTTGATGGCAGTTAACTAAGTAACAGATACAGCTGCCTAGAAGTAGAGCTGAATAATTAGGCTTCTCCCTTTAGTGATGAGGATGGGTTCTTTAACTGTCCTGTACCCATTTAGTGGAGGAGGTCCACTTCCTCCAGAGCACCTTCCACCTCTGTGGAAGGAAGCTCCGTGTACTGGCCCTGAGTGAATGCTAGCAGTGTTACAGGATGGATACAAATGGCACCCGGACTGCACCCTCAGTTCTAATTAGAATCCTGTGCCTCTAGGGTAGGTTGGGGTGTGGGACTGCAAAAGAATCTGGAGTGGAGGTGGGTCAGGAAGTCACTCCAGAGAATGCCAAGTACTCAAGGGCCAGGAGTCAAGCTAGAAAATTATGTGTCTGTACAGTTTCCTACAGAGTGGATCTATTTTGATAAGCTTATCATATATGTTCATTTTTGTGTGTATGTGTCTCTGAGTGTTTTGCCTTCATGTATGTAAGTATACCACACTCAAGCAGTGTCTGTGCAGGTAAAAAGAGGGTGATCAATCCTCTGGAACTGAAGCTACGGACAGGTGGGTGCCGGAAGCTGAATGTGGATCTTTGCGAGGGCAACAAGTGCTCTAAACTGCTTAGCCATCTCTCCACCCTCTTCTGTTGTGGTCTTGAAGTTGAAATTCCTTAAAAGAAGAACCATTCTTTTTTTTTCACAGTTGAAAAACATTAGGTGTAGTGGCACTTAGCTTTAGTTTTAACATTAGGAGGCAGAGGCAGGCATGGGATTGCTGAGGTTAAGGCCAGTCTGGTCTACAGAGTGAGTTCCAGAATAGCCAGGGCTATACGGAGAAATCCTGTCTCAAGAAACTTAAAAAAAAAAAAAAAAAAAGTGTAGTATATGTGTGAGTGGACACAGGTCTGCAGGTACATGGTATATGTAAACTCACCTGTTGGCTCGACTGGTTGGCCAGTGAGCTCCATGCCTTTCTCTGCTGCTGCCCAGCACTAGGTTACTGACACCATCTTGTGTATAGCTTTTATGTAAATGTTGGGTATCTGGACTCAGATCCTTGTGCTTGTAGAGCAAAGCACTACTGACCCTGACCATCCCCACTGGTACCTACTGACCGAGCCATCCCCATAACCCCTGTTCATCCGTTCTTGAGCATATTGCCTGTTTGTTGTCTCTGTCAGTCGTATAAAGGGAATACTCTCAGGGGCCTTAGCTACTCTACAAGGATGAAGCCTTCCTAAGCTGTCCAGGTAACTATGTCTAATTCCACCACCGCAACCACCTATGCTTAGCAGGATCTCCCTGGGCGCCTCTGACTTGGGCCTTCTGTCTTGTCCTTTGTAAACAAGGCCCTGGCATTCATTCCCAGCTCTTTGCTAAAAAGATAAAGAAAGGAGCTGGACAGTGGTGGTGCACGCCTTTAATCCCATCACTTAAAAACAGCCAAGTGGATCTCTGTGAATTCAAGGATAGCCTGGTTCATAGAGTTCCAGGACAGCCAGGGCTACACAGAGATCCTGTCTTGGGGTAAGAGTGGGGGGTAATACAGACTGATTTTTTTTTCTTTTAAGTTTTACTTTGAGAGGCAGGGCTTCAGATTTTTTGGTTATCTTCCTGCCCCTGCTTCCTAGGTGCTGGGATTACAAGTATGTACCGCCATACTCAGCTCCTGATTTCTTATTGCAAAAACTGCCTGTTACAGAGGGGTGGTGGTGCACACCTTAATGCCAGCATTCAGGAGAGTCCAGCACATGAGTTGGAGACTAGCCTGGTCTATGTTCCAGGACATCCAGGGCTGTGCAGAGAGAGCCTGTCTCAAACAAATAGATGGCCTTTAAAAGCTGCCTAATACAGGTAGAATTAGTAAAGAAAAAAAAAGATTTTATTATCAATTTCTATTGAGTCTTGCTATAACTTAGATTACTAAAAACACAAAGATAAGAACTTGGGACTTTGCTGGAGGGCCTTGCAGGCAGGACAAGCAGTGACAGAGAGCCAGAGTCAGAAGTGAGGCTTGGGGTGGAGCTCAGGAAGATCCTGTTTAGCGTGGAAAATGACGGTGGGGACGGTTGAATTAGACATAGTAACGTGTAGAAGTTCGGAAAGACGATCCAGGAAGAGACTTCCTCCTAACCAATAACAAAATGAAGGCAGCCCTAGGATTCCAGTGCCTCATTTTCTCATGAGCATAAGTAGCTGGAATTGAAAATATTGAACCCTAACTTCCATGGTGTTTGAAGGGTTTGGTGCGATGGGAATACCAGGGAACTCAGGAGTTAGGAGCCAGTGTGCTGCTTCTGTGGGACAAGTCCACAACCTCAGAAGAGCACTTGACTATTACATGAATGAATACACTGCTCAGGCCTGGAGTAAATGAGGAGCATGGTCCTTTGTGTATTGTAGCAGGAAGAGGTGAAAAAAATCATCCCCAGACCATGCTGGGAACTGAACTCAGGTCCTCTGGATGCAAAAGAGATGAGCCAAAGGGTATTGTGAGACTTCAAGTTCTACTGAGGGAAGGGAGGTAAAGAAACAGACTTTGGTTAAGACCAGCCTTATCATATTTACCTCGAAAAGCTATAAGTTTAGTTTCCAGTTGTGATAGTTAATTGTCAACTTGACCTAATCTAGAATCCCCTGGGAAGAGAGTCTCATTGAGAGACTGTCCTAGACCGGGCTGACCCATTGTGGGCATGTCTGTGTGGGATTATCTTGATTGTGTTGAGGTAAGAAGACCCACCCGCTGTGGGTGGCACCATTTCCTGGGCAGGCAGAGCTGTAGTGTAGAGACAGCTGAACACTAGTAGGAATGTGTGTATTGGTCCTCTGCTCTTGACTGGATGTGTGTCAAGTTCCTGACACTTTACTGCTCTGTAGTCTATAACTTGGAATTATGAGCCTAATAGAACCTTTGTCCCTTAAAGTGCTGTTCGAAGGATATTTGTCACAGCAACAGAAATGAAACTAATACACAGTAACATATATATGGACTGCAGAGGTAGCTCAGTGGTTAAGAGCACTTGCTGTTCTTCCAGAGGATTCAGGAGATCTGATGCCCTCTACTGGCCTCTGTGAGCATGAAACATGCATGTGGTACACAGATATACATGCAGGCAAAACACACATACACATAAATAAAAATCCTAAAAGACAGAAAGGCTTTTGTACAGAACTTGACATTCTGCAGTTTAAGAGAACCCCTCCCTTCCTATCAAAGGAAATAATACCACATAACAGAAGAGGGAAAAATGCTGCTTCCGGGGCCATGAATGGAGCTCAATGATAGAACACTTGTCTCAATGATAGAACACTTGTTTAAATGCTTGATTAAATTACTTTATGTTGGACCTGGGTGTGGTGGTGCCTTTAATCCCAGTAGAGCTCTGCCTGGGCTACACAGAGATGGCCTGTCTCAAAAACTAGCATTCTTTTATGTTGTATGTCAGTCTCTGTTGCTATAACAACAACAAATAGAGGAACCTATGAGATATACAAGGCAGAAAGAGTTTATTTCAGCTCAGTTTTTAGTGGTTTCAGGCCAGGCCTGCAGTTGTTTCTGGGCCTATGGTGAGAAATCATCCTGCAGGGAGAGTGAGAGAGGGGAACTGCTCTGCTATGGTGGCCAGGGACTGTCAGGACAGGGACAAGATACTCTATTTAAAAGCAAAACTCTGAAGATCATCATGCCAGAGTTTGCCTGTGTTTGGGAGCCAAGGAAGAGAGGATGAACTTTGCTGCTGCACTGTAGAAGGGAGGAAGCTCTCTCCTTTTGGTCACCCACTTTCTGTTCTGAACAGTACCTCCCCAAGTGTCCAGCAGAGAATCCTCTCCTTGACAGATTTAAAAGTCTTGAATTGAGCCATTCAGTGGGGAAGAAAGATCAGGGTGCTGGAAACAGAACCAGGTCATTCCCACGTCTCTAGTCTATGGATCCCACAGGACCCCACCACGCTCCTTCCCATAGAGCTTACCAACTGCTCACACAAATCCTTGTCCAGAGCAGCCTGTTGCTTAGATTAAGGCCCAGCTCTAAGCTGAGATGAGAAGTAGCAACTGTGCATGTCTGGCCATAGGAAATCTGCCCTGGTAAGAAACTGCCTAGACGGGGGTAGTGGGGAGGGCTGAGTAGGGATGGGAGGATTCTCTGGGGGGGGAAAAAGGATAAATCTTAGGGAATAGGCAGCTCCATATTTGGGGAAGTGGGGGAGATCCATTTGGACACTAAAAAAAGTCTGTCACATGCTAGCTTTGTTCTAAGGAAGATGAGGTCTATACTAAGCAAAGACCCACTCTATATACTAAGTCAGAAACCTTGGGAGTGGAACCCAGCACTGAGTCTTTAGCCTTCCAGAGGATTTAGGTGAACACTAAAGTCTAACAACCACTGGTGGTAAGTTACAAGGTCTATTGAGGTGTGCAATAAATGTGGCTTCTCTTTTGCCAAGAAGTGGGTGAGGTATTGTTCTGGAGAAAGAAAATGATCCTGAATCATGGACATCATGCCCCCCTCCCCGGTGCTGTGTGGTCTAGTGTTAATCAAAAGGCTAGCCTTGAACTCAGGATCCTCATGCAGTGCCAGGACTGTGACATGTGCCTCCATGCCTGGCCAGTTATGCTTCGTGTTTACCATCTTCATGGTCCTGCTGAGGCTTAGAGATGGGGAATCTGCTTAAGAGAAGAGTCAGTGGGGTTGGGGCGGTGCGGGTGGAGAGGGATGGTCAACAGGCACAGTGTGCAATAGTACAAGCTTTCGTATGCAGTGCTGGGGGTTGAGCCACTGAATTGTACCCTCAGCCCTGGGAGAACAATTTCTGACGTGTTACTACTGTGTGGGTTACTGTATGTAGGTGCCAGTAATTGGATACTTCAAAATAGCTAGTAGGTTGGATATTCCCAACAAAAAGAAGTGATAAATATGTGGGAAGATAATATATGCTATCCTCTAGTGTGGGAGTGTCAGTAAGAATGACCCTCCCGTAGGCTCATATATTTGAATGCTTAGTCACCAGGAAGTGGCGCTGTTTAAGAAGGATTAGGAGGTGTGGCCTTGTTGGAAGAAGTATGTCACTAGGGGTGGGCTCGGAGGTATCTCTCAGAATTTCTCCAGCACCACACCCCCCTTCTTCCTTCCCCCCTCCTGAGCCCCGAGCTCTCTGCCATGATGAGAATGGACTGAACCTCTGAAACTGTAAGGAAGTCCCCAATTAAATGCTTTCTTTTATAAGAGTTGCCTTGGTCATGGTGTCTCTTCACAGCAATGGAAAAATGGCTAAGACGTCTGGTAAGATCAGTACACATTGGAATACTGGGCTGGTGAACTGCAGGCTTGGTAAGCTTGGTAGCCTGAGGGTCTGATCTGATCCTTGAAACGCACAGTGGAAAAAAAGGGATTCCTAAAAATTGTCCTCTGGCTGGGCAGTGGTGGTGCATGCCTTTAATCCCAGCACTTGGGAGGCAGAGGCAGGTGGATTTCTGAGTTTGAGGCCAGCCTGGTCTACAGAGTGAGTTCCAGGACAACCAGGGCTATAAAGAGAAACCCTGTCTCGAAAAAAAAAAACAAAAATAAATGAATAAAATTGTCCTCTGACCTCCACATGAGCATCCTGGCAAAGGAACATGCATATACTTACATAACAAATAAATTTTAAAAATTTAGATATGGTAGATATTATTTATTCATTAAACTTGGGCTATGTGGGGCTCTGAAGTCCACTTGTGAATAAGATTCTGGAATGACCAGTTAGCAGAATAAGTAAAACCAAGGACTTTGGATTTCAAACCTGTCCTTTGGATTTGCTATGCCTGACACTTTGGCATAGTGTTTAATCTTACTATTTCTCAGTTTCTTTTCTCCAAAAGAAGGTGTAAAAACCCTGCATCATAGGCAGATCTCTGGAAGTGTGAGGCCAGCCTGGTCTACTTAGCAAATTCCAGGCCAGCCAAAGCTACATAGTCTTAACAAAATAAAGCAAAAACTCTGCCTCATAGGTAAGATTATCTGAGAAGAATGTCCAGTGTATAGTACTTGTTCAGTAAATACTTAGGTTAGACAGGCCTGGTGACATATGTCTATAATTACTGCACCCAAGAAATGGTAGCAGGAGGACTGAGCAGTCAAAGCCAGCCTCAGCAAGAGCCTGAGTTAATGAGACCCTAACATATGCACAGCCGTGCTCATGCTTGTGCACGCGCGTGTGCACCCCCACATACAGGAATCACTGGGGTATTGTCTGTCATGAGGTACTGGAGATTAACTTGAAGAATAGAGGGTTCATCTGGAAAATGGGAAGATTGGTCCTGAGGAATGGCCATAGGTGGGATAGGGATGAAGGGGAGTTGGAAAAGATTAGATCCCCAACCCCATGAACCTCATAGTCTCAGGGTGGGTGTGGACATGCCCTTCAGGGGTTGTTAGTTTCCCAGGCTGCAGAGAGGTTTAGGCGAGGGTAGAGGGCTGGTGTTTGATTATTAGCATCCTCTGCTGCTGCAGTAGAAGCCTCGGTGGTCGGTAGTCGAAGCAGAACCAGCAACCTAAGCCTACCTCCTGTCTCCCAGTGACAGGTGGGAACTAAAAAGCTCAAGTCACGTGTCTTCGCTGGCTAACTTACTGACCCCTTAAAGAAATGGAGGATAGGGCAGGCAGGGGTCAAGAGTCATTGAGAAAAGGCCGTGGGGTGGAGTGGGGTGGGGTGGGGTGGGGGGATGTACGCACTCTCCCAGGACCCAGCCCACACTTGGAGGGTGAGAGAGAATGTGCATGTCTATGAAAAGACAGACTCTGAAGAGCCTTATGTGTGTATGCCCTGCAGCCTCCAGCCTATACTGGTTTGGAGACCTGTATCTCGCTGGTCAAATAAAGACTTATTGCCAAAGCAGGCTGTGACTGGGTCCAGGTTAACTACTGTCCCCTATCTCTAAAAAACTAGCGTCCTCTTGAGCCCTTAGAGAGGGGAGATGTGAAGAGGTGTGAGAGGCTGTCTCAAAGTCCCAAGAATTACCCTCAGAATTATACAGACAAGTCCTTTGTACTTTAGGGCTGGGTGGGGCTGCGCTCCGAAGCTGAACTGGAGAAGATAAGCAGCGAGGGGTTTGTGTAAGCAGATAGACTGACAGCTTCCCAACCCCCTGGGCACCTACTGCTCAAGGACCTGCCTCTGAGTAACTTCAAGTCTCCCTCCCTTAGCGACCTCGGGGTTGACCTTTTGCCGCTAGCCCTCAGTCCTAGGTCCACAAAAGCGCCCCCTTCGGGTCCCCACGCTGTAGGCGTTGCTTTCGCCACCTCCATCCTTGCCACTCGCGGAGTGAGGGGCAGTACGGGCCCTTTAAGAGCAGCAGGACCAGCGAGCAGAAGCTTGGAAGAGAACACTGCCGCCCGACTAGCTCCAGAGGACAGGCGCTGGGGACCAGACTACTAGAACCCAGTGGGTTCATCCAAGTGGGGTCGCGGTGAGACCTCAACCACCTCTCTGCAACCCTGTCACCCTTTCTGACCCGAGCCCTGCCTTCCTCTACTTGCCCGCCCTGGCCTAGCCCCGCCCCGGCCCGGGCCACCCGGACAGGGAGCCGGGGCGCCGGTGCCGCAGCCAGAGGCAGGTGAAGAGAGCCGGGAGTGTCCACCTCCCGCGCCGCAACGCTGAGCATCCGGGTCGAACATCCCGGTTGAGCATCCCTGCTGAGCATCCTTGCGTCGCAGCGGCCAGAGACGCGTCAAGGTGACCAGGCGAGCTGGGGGACAAGAGGGTCGGCCAGCGGGGTCTGGGGGTCTGCCGCTGTCTTTGGGGACAGTCCGGAGGCGCACGGCCATCTAAGCGGGATGGGGAGGCTGGCCGAGGAGCGGTGTCAGTCTGTGCAGAGAGGGGCTCGGAGCCGAGGCCAGAGTCTCCCCCAGCCCTCTCTGCGCCTCCTAGCTTCCCCGACCTCCGAGCGGGTGACTACCCTCGGCCGGCCCCCAGGGACTGCCGGCTTGTGGGGTAAGGAGATTAAGGCCGTGGCGGGGAGGGAGGAGCGGGCACAGTTTCGACTGGGCCGGGCGAGCAAGGCCCGGCTGGGACTACCTAGGAACGAGGAGAGGTCGCAACTGAGTATCACTGCACCGGGAGTGTGCTACCCGGTGCAGAAGACCCGGCGGGAAAAGGGGTGCGGACAGTTGGGGATCTGCCCTGAGAAGGAGGCAGGGTTGGGGCGGGGGGAGTAGAGGCGGGGCAGCATCGGAAAGCTATGGAGCAAGGGCTGAAGGGTCTGCCCCGAGCTAAGCAGGCCCTCTCCCTGCAGGCCGGCTGCTGTGATGGCGGAGAAGGCACTGGAGGCCGTGGGCTGTGGACTGGGCCCTGGGGCTGTGGCCATGGCCGTGACACTGGAGGACGGGGCAGAGCCCCCTGTGCTGACCACGCACCTAAAGAAGGTGGAGAACCATATTACAGAAGCACAGCGCTTCTCTCACCTGCCCAAGCGCTCTGCTGTGGACATCGAGTTCGTGGAACTGTCCTATTCCGTCCGGGAGGGGCCCTGGTGGCGCAAACGGGGTAGGTGGCAGCCCCATGGGGTTTTCTCGCCGAGTTGCCTCTCCAGGAGCATAGGTCCTGGGGATACCCCACTCTGCGAGTGTTCACGTCCTAAACCTCACTACACAACTGCAGTTGGGGTACAAGATCCCTGCTCCCCTCCATCTGCCAGCACTATGGGAGTTCAATCTGCTCTTGAAGCTTTTTCTTCTAAATAGACCCTATGACCTCTGGTCCTTGAGTTAGTCTCTCAGAGTGTGTCTCTCAGTCTTCTCTTTCTCTCCCCCCACACTCTCTCCTCCTGCCTCTGAAGGTGGTTTGGGGAAAGAGCCCACACTATCTGTGGAGGCTGTTTTCAAGGTCCAGCAGTATCCTTACACCTATTTTTAAAGATGTTACCATTCCAGCCGTCTTACTCCATTCTTGTACGGCCACAGTCCCTAGAAGCAGGAGGGATGGAGTTCAGACAGAAGGGGTGTCATCCTCGTGTTACCAATGAAGAAACTGAGACTTGAGGAAGTTGAATAACCTGACCAGTGTCCCTCTGCTAGTAAGAGGCAGTGCAGAGCCCAAAACATAGAAACTCTGGAGATTCCCCACCCTCCTCTCTCCTACCTGATCAGGACAGGTTTCCTAGAGCCCCCGACCTGTGCCTCTAATCTAATAGCTGGGCTGGGAGCCTAGAGGTTGGGCTGGGTTTGCTTCCCACAGCTGGGTGTGGGCTAGGGGTGGGGCTGAGACAGTGTCCTCTGTGGCTTAAGAAATAGCTTTGGGGTGCTTCAGAACGGGGCTCAGTATTAGCTGTCTCTACATGTTTGCTCATTTCCACAGACAACCAAAGGGTGTGTGTGTGTGTGTGTGTGTGTGTGTGTGTGTGTGTGTGTGTTTGAGCCCGTGGACCTAAGGCATCTAGACTCCTTATCCAATACCCTAACCCTGAGTTGTCTCATTCAGTTCTCAGAGCAGCTCTGGGCAGAATGATGAAGTTCTTGATATTCCTTGGCCTTCGGAACTTTATGCTGAGAAGAACATGGCTAGATTAGGCACGGCTCCTTATCAGGGTGGTGGGTGCCCCGGCGAGGGACTCTTCCCTTTGACAGCCTCATCTACCCTCTTCTTCACTTGCCATCTTCTAGCTCTGGCCTGTTCTTGCCTCTGCCCTCTGCCCTCTGCCCTCTGCCCTCTGCCCTCTGCCCTCCTTTGCCTGGCTTCTCTGTTCTTTGGCTCCTTCTCCCTTCTGGAGAGGAACACAACAAAACTAAGGGTGGCAGAGAGGGGAAGTGTGAGGGTTCTGGGGGAGACCTCTGCCTTCCTTGGTGAGCATCTGTCACAGTCCCTTTGAACTGTATATGACATTTATTTCTCCAAACACACTCAATTAATTATTACTGATCCCACTTGATAACATAATAACCCTATTAAGTCTTTGGGAGGGCATACTGCTGTCTTTTTTTAATGGTGTTGGGGATGGAAGCCAGGACCTCGTCTGTGTTAGACCAGCACTCTACCACTGAGCAGCATCCCAGCCAATTACCACTCTTTTGTCCATGAGGAATCACAGACCCGGATGATTTAGTGACTTGCCTGTTACAAAGGTACACACCTGTCATCTCATCACTGGGAAGGCTGAGGCGGGAGTTCGAGGTCAGCCTGGAGAACATAAAAAGACCTTGTTCCCCACCCCACCCCACCCCACATCTAAATAAATAAATTAAATGAAAAGATTTAGTGATCTGTCAAAAATGACAGACCTCCTGACGGAAGCAAGACTAGAACATTGGTGTCTTTCCAGAGGGAGGTCTGCAGGTCCCTCAGGGGCTGAGTAGTTCTGCTACGTGGGGAGTTAAGAGAGAAGTATTTTCACCTCAAGGGGAGCTGCGTGGCTTTTGGCAGGCTGAATGCCCTCTCTTGGCCTGACTTTCCTCACGGGTTTCTTGGGAGCTCAGCTGAGTTGGTACCTTGGAGAAAGGCAAGCGAGTGTAAGGTGATATCTGTGGCAGGCCTTGGGTTTTTGACTGGCATCATCGGGCTCTGGCCTCAGACTGATGAAATGAAGGGAAGGTTCATGCTTGCAGTTTCCTTCCTCACACAAAACTCACCTCGGTGAATGTTCTCCAGATGGAGCACCTTTCTGGTTGGCCATGAGGCGCTTAGCCAGAGGGCTGAGACCCAGGACTCTCCTCTCTCAGTAAAGCCCTGGCTGTGTAACCTCCAGTGAGGTGAAGGCTGTGGGCTCCAGTTACCTCATCTGTGCTGGAGGAACAGCTGAGGGTGAATAGTCTCTCAACGGGCAGTTGGTGTGGGCCGGTCTGACAGTGGGCATGGCCCTGGGCAGCAGGTTACTTAAGGTCAACTTTCATTGTCTTTGTTAAGGGGTACACTTTGGAGTAGGTGACAGATAAGGGCCGGAGTCCTCACCATAGCAGGTCTGTGAGCTTAGCAGGCCAGGCCCTGGTCCTTGGCTTCATCCCGTCCCCACCTCCCAGGTCATCAGTTGACTCTGTACAGTCTCTGCCCTCTGTCCCCTGGGTTATACCATAGCAGTGCTTTCTCACCTAAAGCCTGGGGGCTTCTGTTGTTCTTCCTGAGCTCCAGTGCCACCTCTTCCAGGAAGACACTCCTGATTTCCACCTTACTGTCCACCCTCAGAGGGTGAATTGCTGCAATTCCATCTCCACTGTTTGATTTTTCTCTCTAGTTTTTTGTTTCATTCTCATTTTCTTGACCGTTTCTCTTACCTAGTCTGTGGCTTTCTGGAAGGCAGAAACCATGTCCTTCCTTGGTTTATTTTCTGCCTAGCGTCTGGTACAGAGCTTAATGCATAGTAGATCTGGATAAGCATTTGTCAAGTAGAATTATAACACAATATGCCTTGTGAAATGCACTGCGTGTGCCAAGCACCGAGCCATATGCTTTCCATGTGGCAGCTCATTGACTCTTCACAACAAACCTGAGAGGCAGACACTATCATCTTTATTTTACAGCGCTCAGAGAGGCTAAGCAACTTGCCTCAGGTCACACAGCTGTTAAAGTGGGATCCAAGAGTTTGAACCAGCTCCAACTGACTCCCTACTGGTGTCCTTTACACACTCGCTGCTTCCCACAGAGGGAAGGAAGGGTGACATTTTATTGGCCATGTTTGGGGCTGGAGAGACAAGCTTGTGGAGCAGCGAAGACATGAAGAAGGGACTTTTTTTTTCCCCAGTATGGAGCCAAAGCTCTGAGAAAACATGCTTAACTGAGCATCTATTACATGCCAGGCAGACAAGGAAGATGAGTAAGGCGCAGACCCTTCCCCCAAGATGTTCCCTGACTAAGCTGCTGGGGGAGGGGTGTGAGCCCAGGCACACGGAGTGACAAATGCGCTGGCATCTGAAAAGTGCTGCAGGAACGTAGGACAGGCAGCCAGCTTGGGCTGCTCAGCGGGAGAGTCCCTGGAGTGTGTAAGGCAGGCGCCACTGTGATAAGGAAAGAGCCTTGATCTTCTAGGACCTCAGCACCCTCGCCCTCGTTACAGCCTTCAGGAGAGACATCAGCCTTCCCACAGCCTTCAACCCCCCTCCCGGCTGGACTCTAACACCAGTGGCGGTCATTTCTGGGGGGACAGGAGGAGAGGATGGGAGCTACTGTGTAGGAACTGCTCGCCCCTTGTAACTTTACTCAGCCGCCAGGCGGTGGTGGCGCACGCCTTTAATCCCAGCACTTGGGAGGCAGAGGCAGGCAGATTTTTTGTTTGTTTGTTTGTTTTTTTGTTTTGTTTTTCGAAACAGGGTTTCTCTGTGTAGCCCTGGCTGTCCTGGAACTCACTCTGTAGACCAGGCTGGCCTTGAACTCAGAAATCCGCCTGCCTCTGCCTCCCAAGTGCTGGGATTAAAGGCGTGTGCCACCACTGCCCGGCTGGCAGGCAGATTTCTGAGTTCGAGGCCAGACTGGTCTACAGAGTGAGTTCCAGGACAGCCTGGGCTACACAGAGAAACCCTGTCTGGAAAAACTCTACTCAGCCATAGCTAGTTCACCTATGACTAAGCCTCTTCTAAGATTCTCTCTCTGTCTCTGTCTCTGTCTCTCTCTCTCTCTCTCTCTCTCTCTCGTGTGTGTGTGTGTGTGTGTGTGTGCACATGTTCATGTATGCATGTTGGAACCAGAAGTCAATATCCATCCATCTGTCCATCCACCTTGCTCTCTGAGGCAGGGTCTCTGGCTGGCCAGTGAGGTCTGGGGAATCATCTGGTCTTGGCCTTTTCCGCACGGCTCACCCCAGCCTGTTAGTTGTTGTTGTCAAAGATTCCTTTTCATTTAAAAGTGTGTGGGGGGGGTGAGGGATGCTAATCGGTGAGTGGGGGTGCTTGCACACTCCAGATGAGCGAGTGCCCTCGCTCCCCTGGAGCTTGAGGTACACAAAGTTGTGAGCCCCTGAAAGTGAGTACCAGAACCGAGCTTGGATCCTCTGCCTGAGCTGGCCCAGCTCTTCACTGCTAAGGCACCTCTCTTGCCTGTGTTGTGCTGTGTTGTGTTTTGTTTTGTCTTGTTTTAGACAGGGTTTCAGACTCTGTAGCCCAGACTGGCTTGGACCTCAGAGCAATCTCCTCCTTGTCTTAGCTTCCCAAGTTGGGATTACAGCAGGGATCAGTACACTGAGGTTAAGCCGGGCAGTTTGAGTGGGTTCTGGAGATGGACACTTCAGTTCTTCCTTGTGCTGTGTGGCAAGCGTTTTACTGACTGAGCCGAGCCGTCTCCCCAGGACGCATCTTTAAGAATTGTGAGGATGTCTCTGATCCATTAGCCCTCACCGGTGACTCTCCCATCCTTGCTGCAGGTTACAAGACCCTCCTCAAGTGCCTGTCTGGTAAGTTCTGTCGCCGAGAGCTGATTGGAATCATGGGCCCCTCTGGGGCTGGCAAGTCCACGTTCATGAACATCTTGGCGGGGTACAGGTGAGCATGAGGAACCGGGGCGGGGCAGGACTCAAGAGAGGGGCTTCTGGGAGAGCGAGCAGAGGGCGTTCTAACTTCTGGCTTTGATGCTCACTGCCAATCTCCCTGCAGGGAGTCAGGGATGAAGGGGCAGATCCTGGTTAATGGGAGGCCACGCGATCTGAGGACCTTCCGAAAGATGTCCTGCTACATCATGCAGGACGACATGCTTCTGCCTCACCTCACAGTCCTGGAGGCCATGATGGTGAGGAGAGGGTGGCCTTCTCCTCCTCCAAGCTCCCCTTCCATCCCCAACTGAAGGGGCTGGGCAGGGCCTGGCACACATGCCTGCTTTACTCGTTTATCACTTGTTTAGGTCTCTGCCAACCTGAAGCTGAGTGAGAAGCAAGAGGTGAAGAAGGAACTGGTGAGTGGGGCCAGGGGTCAGGGGTCAGGGGTCAAAGGGCGTGCCCTCCAAGGCCCCAACTTGGGTGGGAAACACTGGCTTAAAGGGCAATCCTTTATGAAACCGGGGTGGTGCTTAGGTGAGGCCCGGATACGGAGGAGGCTGACTGGGGCTGGGTGGGGGTGCCTGCAGGTGACAGAGATCCTGACAGCCCTGGGACTGATGTCCTGCTCTCACACGAGGACAGCCCTGCTCTCTGGAGGGCAGAGGAAGCGCCTGGCCATTGCTCTGGAACTGGTCAACAACCCGCCCGTCATGTTCTTTGATGAGCCTACCAGGTAGCTCCCTGCTTCTCCTGACCTGGGTTTTCTCCTTTCTCAGCCCTAAGCCAGGGCTGGATGTGGATTCTGGTGATTGGCTCCGTGGCTGGAGACCAGCTCCCCTGTGTGCAGCCTCCTGGGGACTCCATCCTTGCTAATCCAGTCAGAGCCAAGCGTCTTTCATCCAGGTGTCACTCTGGATGCCCCACTCCACCCTCCTGATTGACATCTCCCTCTCCTCCCCCGCAGCTAGCCGTTAGTCACCATAGCCTACCTTTGGTCGCTCTCAGGTTTGCCCATCCCTAATGCTCAAGCTCAGGACAGCATCAAGATTCACCTCCCTGCCTTCAGTCTCCCAAGCACACCTTTCTCCAACCTGTAGCTAGATCAGGCTTTCTAAACGACAAGTCTGACAAGCGCTACTCTCCTGCCTCAGACCAGGCAATGAGTCCGATTTGCCGTCAACATAGTCAGTGGCTTCTCTTCTGGTCGTTCATATTTTATGTTCTAATAACGCTGAGTTGCCATTCCCATTGAAGTCTGTGTTTGAAGCCCCTCAGCTTGATCCCTGCTATGTCTTCTGTGTGGAATACCTTTCACCGCGACACCTTCCATTGTCCCTTCATCAGCTAACTCTTGCTCTGCCTAGACTCAGGACCCTTCCCTGGCTGTCCTCCATCCCCTTGCTACAGCACAGTATGGCTGACCCCTGGCCAGTCTTTCGGCTTGTGTTGCGATTCCACTTTTCACATCTCCTCAAGTCAACCAGGACCTTGGCTGTTTCTCTCTAGACCAGTCTAACACGAGCCCTTGTCACCCCAGTGCCTGGTACACAATGGGTACTTGGGATATGGTTTTTAAACTGAGCAGTACTCTGAGCTTGCAAACATCTGAACCATACGAGGTGTGCAGGATTCGGGGGCTTGTCTGTTTGCTTTCTATTGCTGTAATGAAGGCCATGGCCAAAAGCGATGTGGGGAGGGAAGAAAGGGTTTATTTGGCTTACGCGTTCAGATCACAGTCCGTAGTTAAGAGAAATAGAGGCAGGAACTCAAGCAGGAGCAGAGGCAGGGACCATGGAGGAATGCCATTTACCTGCTTGCTCTCTGAGGCTCATTCACTGAGCCTCAACTCAGGATACAACTCAACTCAGTTGTATACAACTCAGGACCACCTAATAGGGAGTGACACCGCCCACAGTGGGCTATGCCCTCCCACATCAATCATTAGTCAGGAAAAATGGCCTCACAGGGTGCTCTGATGGAGGCATCTTCTGAATTAATGCTCCCTCTTCCCAGACGACTCTAGTTTGTGTCAAGTTGACAAAGACTAAGCAGTTCAGGGGTGGCCATAGGGGTGCCTTCCCACTAGTTCCATCCTGTTCACAGAAGCCGCCCCACCTCACTCACCCCTTCTTAGCCACATCCACCTCACTGCTCCCTGGTGACCTCTCTCTGGACAGCGGTCTAGACAGCGCTTCTTGTTTCCAAGTGGTGTCCCTCATGAAGTCTCTGGCCCATGGTGGCCGCACCGTCATCTGTACCATCCACCAGCCCAGTGCCAAGCTCTTTGAGATGTTTGACAAGGTCAGTATACACGGGTCCCCAAGAAGGCTGGCCTGCCATAAGACACACATGTCAGTGGGGTCCGCCTGCCCACTGGTCATGTGTTCCTCATGTATGCCTTTCCGCCTCAGCTCTACATCCTGAGCCAGGGACAGTGCATCTTCAAGGGCGTGGTTACCAACCTGATTCCCTATCTGAAGGGGCTTGGCTTGCACTGCCCCACCTACCACAACCCCGCTGACTTCAGTAAGTGGGGGCTCCTGGGAGGATTCGGGTGACAGAAGAGGGCCAAACATTGGGTTTGGATGAAAGCTCATTGTCACCTGCCTTCCCCATATACCAAAGAAGGACCGCCCTGCCCTTGGGAATTGGGGGTGAAGCCTAGCTGAGCACTCTGCTCTGTGTCCCCCTAGTTATTGAGGTGGCCTCTGGAGAGTATGGAGACCTGAACCCCATGCTGTTCAGGGCTGTGCAGAATGGCCTTTGCACCATGGCCGAGAAGAAGAGCAGTCCTGAGAAGAATGAGGTCCCTGCCCACTGCCCCACTTGCCCTCCGGTGAGTGGGGTGGAGAGGGCAGAGTGGGGGAGGGGAGATGGGACCATAGACAAAAGACGCTGCCAAAGAGCTGTTCCCAGAGGCTTTGCTGTCACTGTGTAATGGGAAGCCTGGTGCTTGGGACAGACTACTGTTAACAGCAGTGTGAGGTCGTGGGCTTTGAACTTCTCATCCACCTGTTCCTCCAGAGATGCTTTGAGCATCTTTGGTTCACTGCCCTCAGTGCCTGCCCGGGGCCCATCTGGAAAGCGGGGCCAGTGCAGTTGCTGACCTCGGGGCCAGGGGGGTCTGCTGTCACCTCTAACCCAGAGGTGGGAAGACTAAGCTACCAAATCACATAGGCTCTTAGCAGGCCATAGGGGCAGCCAGGGTCTACCTAGTGTCAGCTCCCTTCCTTAGATGAGATGCCATCACTCCTGAAAGCTAGAGGCTTGGCTATTGTTATCAGTCATTGTCATTCTTGTTAGTTAGTGGGCGATCCAGTGGCCCATTCAAACATTTATAGCTTTAGAGTTAGTCATGAAGTAAAGAAGGGGTCGGTCTGCCGGGCGGTGGTGGCGCACGCCTTTAATCCCAGCACTTGGGAGGCAGAGGCAGGTGGATTTCTGAGTTCCAGGACAGCCTGGTCTACAGAGTGAGTTCCAGGACAGCCAGGGCTATACAGAGAAACCCTGTCTCGAAAAAAAAAAGAAGGGGTCGGTCAGATGAACCAGATCGGGTCTTTGACTCCGTCCTGTCTCCTACCATCCAAGTATCTTTATGTGTTCTCTCTCTCTCTCTTTCTCTTTCCCGTCCACCCTCAAGCTGGAGGTTCTCACCCCTAAACCCAGAGCAGCTCGGGGGGCCAAGGCTCCTCCTTCTGCGGGCCTGGGCGCCGTCCTGAGAAGAGCTTGGGACTCTCCCATCTACTGAGCTGCATGGGCAGTGGGTGGGTCAGGGTACACTCATCTGGTCCCCGTTCTTCTCTAGGAACTGGATCCCATCGAAAGCCACACGTTTGCGACCAGCACCCTCACCCAGTTCTGCATCCTCTTCCGGAGGACTTTCTTGTCCATCCTCAGGGACACGGTGAGATGTCAAGCTGAGGGGTAGGTGGTGTAGGCTGGACCTCTTGGACTGTAGACTCTCAGTAGCTGGAATGGGAACTAGGAGCACTACTCTCGGACACCATGGCTCTGTGTGCCTGCAGACATCCCTGACTGACTTCCTAATCTAGCATGGTCTTTCCTAAGTCCTCTACCCTACCTCCCACTCCCTCGGCCTGAAACACATACTTCTTCTTTTGGCGACCTGGGCCGTAGGTCCTGACTCACCTGCGGTTCATGTCCCACGTGCTGATCGGCGTCCTCATTGGTCTCCTTTACCTGCACATCGGTGATGACGCCAGCAAGGTCTTCAACAACACCGGCTTCCTCTTTTTCTCCATGCTCTTCCTCATGTTCGCCGCCCTCATGCCCACTGTGCTCACCTGTGAGCTGCTCTGCCTGGCGGATGGATAGGGTGGGGGGGCCGGGCAGGAGGCAGGGGCCAAGGCTTAGCCTGTGGAGCCTGATGTCCTCGTGTCCTCAGTTCCCTTAGAGATGGCGGTCTTCATGAGAGAGCACTTGAACTACTGGTACAGTCTCAAAGCGTATTACCTGGCCAAAACCATGGCTGACGTGCCCTTCCAGGTGAGTCTCATGGAATGTGTGGGCTGATGGGAAAGCTGAGAAGACGTGGGAAGTTATAACTGTAGCCAGATGTAGTGGATCACCTCATCCCAACATTTGGGGTTGGGGGTAGGGGGTTGCAGGTGTGTGTACTGAGACAGGAGGACTGCCATGAATTCAAGTCAAGCCAGAGCTACAGTGTGACTAGCTATCTCAAAATAAATAAATAAAGAAGTGGCCATAATAGCAGAGTAAGAAATGTCTCTCTGTCGTAGGCAGAAAGAGCCCACAGGCTCTAGATCTAGTTTTGCTTATTGGCAACCAGTTTGTCTTTGCTTTGGTAACCCCTCCTGGAAATGGGACAGCGTCCCTCTCAGAGTTGAGCTTCAGAATTAAATGTGAAGGCACAGAAAGCTTAATTTCTGACTTTTTGAGACAGGGTCTCTCTGTATAGCCCTGGCTGTCCTCACTACCTAGACCAGGCTGGCCTTGAACTCACAGAGCTTCGCTCGCCTTGCTCTGCTTCCCGAGAGCTGGGAGTAATGTGTGCAATGCCACACCTGGCAATTTATTTATTTATCATGTGTGTGTATATATACATTTATGCCAGAGCATAGGTGAGGAGGTCAGAGGACAGCATGTAGAATTCAGGTTTCTCTCTACAGCGTGCGGATTCTAAGGACTCTGTCAGACTTGGCAAGCAAACGCCTTTACCTGCTGAGCCAACTTGCTGGCTTCCTATAAAGCTTTTAGAAGTGATCGTGTCATAGAAATACCAGCTGGCATTTGTTCAGCACACTGCCACCTTGCTTAAAGCTTCAGGGCTACCAATAACCCTTTGTGCAAATCCCAGAAGTGTTCCTTTATCTAGGTGTGGCCAGGCACACCAGTAATCCCAGCATTTGGAAGGTGAAGCAAGGTGGTTGGGAATTCAAGGTCACCCATGACTACATGCAGAGTTTGAGACCAGAATGGGGAGAGACCAGAATGGGCTATGAGAGATACCTGGATCAAACAAACAGCAGACAAACAAACAAACAGCAGAAGGGGAGATGGATGCTGCTCTGTGCTGTGCACAGAGCTTAGGGAGAGAGATACAAGCGAGACCTTGGCCTCTGGAAGTCCCTGTCTGGAAGTTGTGAGCCTACAGGTTGTCTTCTGTACCGCTGTCCTGTTTTCCTGTTTCCCAGGAGCTTGTTCTCTCTCTCTCTCTCTCTCTCTCTCTCTCTCTCTCTCTCTCTCTCTATTATATTTATTTAGGTTATTTCTGAAACAGGGTCTCAATCTATAAGCCAAGACTGTACTGAAGTATCTAGACTGGGTTGGCCTTGAATTTATAGTAATCCCCCTGCCTCAGCCTCTCAAGGGCTAAGGAATTATCACTTGGCAGAAATTATAACTTCTATTTAAGGTTTAAAGTTGATGTTAAGGGCCAGGCGGTGGTGGCACACACCTTTAATCCCAGCACTTGGGAGGCAGAGGCAGGCAGATTTTTGAGTTCCAGGCCAGCCTGGTCTACAGAGTGAGTTCCAGGACAGCCAGGGCTACACAGAGAAACCCTGTCTCAAAAAACCAAAAAAAATTGATGTTAAGGGTTAGTAAGCAACATAAAACAAATTAATAAACCTGTCATCTTATTTTTTATATATGAGCATCTAAGATATGTTTACTTAACACAAAATACAGATATACTGCAGCCTTCGTAATTAGAGTCTCCATGGTGTACCCTAGATTTGCCCAGTCCACAGGACCGCTCTTTGTGTCCGAGAGGTGGCAGCCTCAAGGGAGAACAGAGCTCTCTCCTAGGGAGAGTTAATTCTTTGATAACATAAGGAGACTGGAGAAAGGCTCATCTATAAAAGATTAAAAATACTTGCTGCTCTTCCAGAGGACTAGAATTAAGGGAACACACACACACACACACACACATCAGTGGCTCACGCTGCTTGTAACTTCAGCTCCAGGGGTACTTGCACATAGGAGGCATACACATACAGAGATATACGTATAAATAAAAACAAGTCCCCAATAAATATATTATGTATATGTGTATGTATATAACATATATGCTTGGAGAGATGGCTCAGTGATTAGGAGTTTTTGCTGCTTTTGCAGAAGGCCTCAGTTCAGTTACCAGCATCCATGTCAGACAGCTTACAGATACCTGTAATTCTGGCTCTAGAGGATCCTTTTCTGGCCTCTGTGTGTACCTGCATAAATGAGCACATCACATACACACAGACACATACATACATACACATACATACACAGACACAGTAAACACACACACATACTACAAACACCACACACACAGACACACACACACAAACCACACATACAGACACACACAGGCACATATACACACAAACACACTTCAAGCACACACATACACCGCACACAGACACACTAAACACACACACACATATACCACACACACACACACACAGAGATACACACACACACATACACACACACACATACACACACACACATACACACACACTTCAAACACACATACACACACACATACCACATAGACATACTATACACACACACAGACACACACAGACACACACAGACACACACAGACACTACCCTGGACATGTGTCAGTCTAAAAGGCAGCATGAACAAGAGTGGAGGCTGGAGAGGGCTGAGGAGCCCAGGGAACACTCATTTCCCAGTAAAGTGGTAGTATGTCCTAGGTCACCTGCCCTGGACTTGACAGTCCCTAACAGACTCTGTGGCTGCTCCCCAGGTGGTATGCCCGGTGGTGTACTGCAGCATCGTGTACTGGATGACAGGCCAGCCAGCTGAGACCAGCCGCTTCCTGCTCTTCTCAGCCTTGGCCATAGCCACTGCCTTAGTTGCCCAGTCTTTGGGACTGTTGATCGGAGCTGCCTCCACCTCCTTGCAGGTGGGAAAGGTGGCACCCAGGTGGGGGGGTCTCATGGGAGATATCAAGAGCGCTATGGGGTGGATGGGACTGTGGTCACCCCTGTGACAGCCAGGCTCCATTCCCCTCTCCTTCAGGTGGCCACCTTTGTGGGCCCGGTGACTGCCATCCCTGTCCTCTTATTCTCCGGCTTCTTTGTCAGTTTCAAGACCATCCCCACTTACCTGCAATGGAGCTCCTACCTCTCCTATGTCAGGTGGGTGTGGCTCCCTCCCCATAGGCGGTCCTGCCAGCTCTAAAGGGGCTGTGCCATCTGTTGTCTGCCTCTGCCCCTCGTAACCTGGTTGGGCTCTGGTGATTTGTGGAGGGGCAGGGATCCTGTGCCGAGTGGTTCCCTCTGAGCTCTTGTTTTCCTAGGTATGGCTTTGAGGGTCTGATCTTGACCATCTATGGCATGGAACGAGGACACCTGACCTGCTTAGATGAACACTGCCCTTTCCGGGACCCACAGATCATCTTGCGTGAGCTGGATGTGGAGGAGGCCAAACTCTACATGGACTTCCTGGTCCTGGGCATTTTCTTCCTTGCCCTGCGGCTGCTGGCATACCTTGTGCTCCGGTACCGGGTCAAGTCTGAGAGATAAAGCCTGGCTCCTACCTCTTCTGGGCAGGAAGCCTCCAGTTCCAGCCCTTTGGGGCTTTTTAAACTTGTAGACTTGGGCGTTGGTTGCTGGTGCAGCCACCCTTCTCTCCCTCAGCTGCTTCACAGGCTGGCTGGCCATGGCTCCCAGCCTCAGCCCCGGAGGCAGAACTCCAGACTTCCCGTCAAGGCCAGGAGTCTTCCCAAGTTGATGCAGTCTGTAGCTTCCTCCCTACTGTCTCCAATGCCTGCATGCAAAGACTACTGGGAGGCTGGGGACCTCCTCTGCCGAAAGCACCCTCCTCTGTTGTTTGCCTGGGAGCTCCATGTTCTCTAGGCCTTGACTTACAAGTGATCAGACTGACCCCCTCTGGGGTCCCCACCACACTAGTGTTGGTAAACTGCTATCAGGTTAGAGTCCCAGGGCTGGGCCCTGGTGGGGTCCCCAGGGAGTCCCATCATGGACATTGGATGGAACAAGGAGGGACTCTGGAAGCTTCCTCCTCCCCTTTTCTCCTCACACCCACTTTGGCAAATTTGGACTATCTGTTGGGACAGAAGCCGGGCTTTCTGTCTGGGCCACCACTCCCAATCCTGGAGATTGGAGAGAGCATGGGATGTCCTGGCCCCTTCCCTAAGCCTTTCGGTCAGGGTAGATCTCAATGGCACCTCTTCAATAATGTCTGTGTCACTCTCCCATCTGCCACAGGAACTGGAGAATGCACTTTATTCTGGGGGTGAGCCGGGGAAGCCCCCATCCTCCCTCCTTGCTGCTCCTGAGGTTCAGTTCTACTCTTCTGAGTCACATCACAGGCACAACAAAGGCCACCAGGCAACCTCAGCCCCTCACAGGCACCATCCCTTATGTCTCAGAGGAAGAGTGACTGTGGCAGGGAGGTGACAGTGGTGGCGGGAGGGCAGTCCCAACTCTCTTCCTTCAGAATCCCTCTTTGGGGCCGGGTAGGTAGTGGTGCACGCCTTTAATCCCAGCACTTGGGAGGCAGAGGCAGAGGCAGGCAGATTTCTGAGTTCGAGGCCAGCCTGATCTACAGAGTGAGTTCCAGGACAGCCAGGGCTACACAGAGAAACCCTGTCTCAAAAAACCAACCAAACAAACAAAAACAAAAACAAAACAAAAAAAACCAGAATCCCTCTTTGGAGGCTAAGAACAAGGCTGGTGTGAGCCAGTATGGGTCCAGGGTCTGCAGGTGTCTATCTCCCAGTCTTCCCTCCGTCTTAGGCCAGGGGTGGCACTGGCCTCCTGGAGGTCAGAACCCAACAAGCACAAGAATGGGCATAGCTGGCCTCAGTCACTGCTCCCCCCATGGCCCTCTTTTTGGGCCCCAAGCTGACACTCGCTCACCCGTCCCTTCTCCAGCCGTCTGCTGCTCACTCAGACTTCTGTTCACATATATTCATCTTCCAGTCAGCAGCTGGTTCCTGGACATCAGAGCAGCGGGGCCTGGATGCCAAGTGGCAGACACACCCGTCTATTTTCTTGGTGGGTCCAGGAGCATCCTATATCTGGTTTCTCCTCCTCCAGGACTCTTTCCCTAGTCCCTGTGCTCACCCCTCTGTCTCTGCTCCAGGTTCTTCTCATTACACAGAGACCAGTTGTATTTGTGGGATTTCACCCATTATTAATAAAACCTATATTTATACAGTATGCAGGGCGTGAGTGTGGATCTGCTACCATAAGCTGTATGAGGAGGTCTTCAAAGCGCTTGGCAAGATGTCTGCCAGCCTTGGGGATCTTGTGACAAGGATGTTAATTAAGTCTTAGGCATACGTCAGATTCATGAATGTATATCCTATTGAAATATTTGTGTCATACGTCCTGCCTGACCAAAACTTCAGTGCCAACCTGAACTGCATTTTATCATCAACCCCATTTTTTCAGGTGAGAGAAAGGTATCATTGGCCCTTAAATAGTGGAAATGGACCCTTGGATGTGTACTCAGCTGGCCGAGTGCTTGCTTAGTGTATATGAAGACTAGGCTCAGTCCCCAGGGCTGGGTAATCCAGATGTAGTGGCATGCACACGTTATCCTAGAACTGGGGACGTGGGCACGAGGAGGATTGGAGGCTCAAAGTCATCCTTAGTTCCTAGGGAGTTCAAGGCCAGCCTGGGCTAAATGAGACCCTGCGAGGGTGAGAAGTGGAATATGGAGAGCAAATCTGCTACCAGACTCTCTTCTCACTGGTCAGGGCTCTCGGTCATGGCAGGGTCTGCAAGCTGTGTGTGGGCAGTTATGTCTGCTGCATAGATATATTACCAAAGTGGTTCATGACTCTGTCCGGAGCCCATGGAACCCTGATAGTGCCTAGAGGGGAAGGAGAGTGCCAGTCAGTGGTTTTCAGAAAGGACAATGGGAAACAGAAAGGTCTCTAGAGCAGTGGATCTCAGCCTTCCTAACGCTGTGGCCCTTTAATACAGTTCCTCATGCTGTGGTGACCCCAACCATAAAATTATTTCACTGCTACTTCATGACTGTAATTTTGCTACTGATGTGACTCGTAAGTATCTGATATGCAGCATATCTGATATTTGACTCCCGTGGGGTCATGACCCATAGGCTGAGAACCACTGCCGTATCTGCCTCCAGGATGGGAGTGGCAGGGACTTCACTGGGCTTCCTCTTATTTTCTCTTTTCCTTTCCACTTTTTTTTTTCTTCTTGACCACCTATACCAGGGCTGAGCCATCAGTAATCAGTACAACACATTAGAGGTTTGGAGTGGGCAAACGTTCTGAGGGGCTGAGGGTCTTGAGACCAGGTGGCAGATGGCCCAACACGGTGTGTATTGTCTCACCTTTTCTCTTGGGCCTGGGGGTGGGAGATTGAAAGGATCTACTGAAACCAGCCCTGTCAGTCGTTTGGAACACTACAGCCGTGCCTCAGGTAGAGGAAGTCTTCTGGTTTGGACTAGGGTCCAGAGTGGTTGGGTACTGAACTGTAGACAGACTAACTTCATTTCTTATAAAGACTTGAAGGGGCAGGGGGAAGCTGGGAGAATCTGACTCCTAGGTTGTTTGAGGGGGCATTTAGGGACCTTCTTCCTGGAGTGATGCTGATAAAGGACAAAGGTATGACATTTCTCCAGCAGCTAGTTTTCCTGCTTCCCCTCCTTCCTTTTTTTTTTTTTTTTGCTTGTTTCTTTGTGACAGGATATCACTATATAAACCTGGCTAGCCTGAAGCTCACTATGTAGGCCAGGCTGGCCTCAAACTCCAGGACCTGCCAACCTCAGCCTCCTGAGTGTTAGGATTGAGGGTCACCATACACAGATGCTTTTATTTTTCTCTAATATTAGTTTTTATTGTTTATTTATCTGGGGAGAGCTTGTTTATTTATTCTTACACAGGTCCTCTTTTTGTTTTTTTTTGTTTTTTTGTTTTTTTGTTTTTGTTTTCTGAGACAGGGTTTCTCTGTGTAGCCCTGGCTGTCCTGGTATTCACTCTGTAGACCAGCCTGGCCCTCAAACTCAGAAATCCACTTGCCTCTGCCTCCCAAGTGCTGGGATTAAAGGCATGCACCACCACTGCCCGGCCTTACACAGGTCCTCATGTGGTGCAGGCTGGTCTTGAACTTCACTGTCACTGCAGAGCTGTCCTAGCATTCAATCCTCCTGCATCTACCTACCAAACACTATACTTTCAGGCAGGTGCATCTGGTTTATGCATTGAATTGCAAATTAAACTCAGGGCTTCGTATACCGAAAGCAAGCACTATATCAACTGAACTACACCTCCAGGCTCCTTCCTGACCATGTAGCCCAGGTTTTCCTTGAATTCAAAGCAGTCCTGTAAGTGCTGGGATTACAGGAATGAGCAGCCACCGTGAACTAGTCTTTCTTCAGATTATTCCTTTACTGCTTCATTTTGTATTTGCTTGTTTATTTGGCTGCAGGTTGAACCTGAGACCCTGCATATCCCCAGACCTTTTAAAGTTGTTTTACACTTTTAGACAAGTTGGTTGTCATTGCCTGGGCTGCCTTTGAGCTCCCTCTGTAAGCTAGGTGGGCCTTGGATTTATAACTATCTGTCCTCAGCCTCCTAAATAGCTGGAATTACAGTCCCGACCTTCAAATCCTTTGGCTGGTTCTCTTTTAAAACACAAACCAGTCTCCAACCCATACTAAACACACTCTACGTTGACCTATACTCTAGTCCCCAAATGAAATAGGCCTGAAATAATCAAACACCTTTGATTTGAAGTCCCACAGAGACTAGAGAGGGCAAACGGCCCTTCTGGAGCCAGGAATCACCTTCAGGGATAGAAAATACTTGGACAATAGTTCACAGATTCACAGAGAGAGCTTTTGATTCCCACAGCAGCCCCAAGATGGGGCTAAGAGCAGTGCCACCATCATCTTCATTTACAGTGGAGGAACCTGGTGTGGGGGGAGGTGACAGGCAAGCTCTCCAGACACCGCTCTTACCGCTGCTTTGCTGCCTCCCCCTACTTCCAGCAACCTGCCCGTCCGTCCAGCCATGTCTGGAAATGGATGCTCTCTCCTGCCCACCTGCCAGGTCTCAGAGACTGTGTTCTCAGTATGCTGCCTCTCTGTGTTGGGGTCTGTGCAAAGTGCTGGAGGGCAGAGCTGATCAAGATGGTTTTTGGTGCCATGGCTCTCAGAGCACCATACTGAGGCCAGACAACAGAGGACATGCCCACAGCATGACTCACAGCCCTTCTGTCTGCAGAGGCCAGTCAAATTATATGTTAATCTAATAACCCACACATCTGTCATACTCATAGGGGGAAGGGAATGGTTTTGCTGTGAACAATGAACACTAATTGTAGCCAGGTGACAGTTGAATTCCCATGGTAAGGTAAGTAGAGAGAAACTACTGGACCCTAAATGTCACCCCTGAGACTGTGTCCATGGAGATACTCATATTCCACTCTCTGGAAGAACTTTATTTATTTATTTGTTTATTTATTTATTTACCCATCCATTCATTCACTCATCCATCTGTTTTTGTTTGTTTCAAGATAGG